TTGGATTTATGCAGTAGCTACAGAGTATTCTATTTTTACATCATACTTAAAAAATCTAGTATTTTGGTTGTTTTTATAACTAGCAGTATACACCAAGTCTGGTTTTTTAATGAACTTAAAATTTCATTTAGTATCAAAACACATGAATGCCTAGATTATTCTTAATTTAGTTATTTATCAAATTGTATATGTCATCTGTGGGTTTTAGCCTTATTAAGCTATTTCACTTGCTTTCTTAATCTTTTGAGTTCCCTTCAAAGTTGTAGCAACTCGATCAATAAAATATCCTCTGAGAATGAGACTATCTTGTTACTAACTCCTTTTTCACAGCAACAATTGACAAGATATCTTTAGCTAACATTAAGTATACAAAGCTTCAAAACACGGATATTAGCTTTAATATTCTTGACATACATTATACCTCAAATAAGTGAAATTTTCAGCCTCTTGGATAAGTGCTCCTCTGCAACCATAAGTGTTTTAAAATAACAAAACATATTCCATCTCTAAATTGCTGTGCTCCCAGATGAAGCCTATTCTGCAATTTTTCTTTAAGTTTTATTTCTAGTTTATACAAATTCTTTTTAAGTTCTGTTGAACAGATGCAAATATAACAGAAACTGATATTGGGAGGCTGTTATCTCTCGGTGATCATCTGCAGATATTGTCTTGATTTAAATGGGACATCATCAGAACACATAGAGTAAATTTAATTGTTCTACCTTGATTGCACACAATCAGGATACACACTTCTGTTATTCTCTGGTATTTGCTTCCCAGGGGGTTAGGAATGTAGCTTCTGTCACTATAGGGTTCTACTTGAAAGAAGGGAAAAACATTGTTCCCTAAGGAGAAAGCAAAAGCAGGTGTATCACACACATGCCTGCACTGTTGAAAACATGTGCACAGCACAGGCAAACGACAACAAATGAAGCATTCCATCTTTTTAATATATTGAAATGCGTTGTGCACATATGGATGGAAGAGAGCACCTGTAATATTCTGCAGAAAATATTCTGTGAAAATACATTACCACTTGGGAGAGTAAAAACTTTGAAGATAGGTCTTTCTACCTCCAGTCCTTATACTGACTGCTTCGCTTACCCAGATTTCACCCCAATTTTGTGGCGAATAGTCCCCTTTCTCTTCTCGCCTCCACTATTTAATTTCATTCAATTCTATGCCCAAGATCCTCACTCTGCCACACTGCATCCTGTTACAAATCTTCTCCAAAAACTGTGCCCACAGTGTCCTGTTCCTTAGTTCCCTATTCTGCATCTCATTTTTTTTTTGGTCAGTCTATCCAAGATTCCTTCTCATCCTAGTTCCCAGAGGAAAGACTTTCTTGCCTGCCTTTCTGCATCTTCATCTTTCTCCCCTCTTGTATGTATGGTATTGCTTTCAAATTAGGCAAATTCTCCTTTTAGTTGTTGGTACTAGCAAAAGGTGAAGGATGGTCTCTCAACAGAGAAGTTTTCTTCTCAGCTCAAAGCCCAGTCCAGGCATGACCTCTATGCCAGGAAGCACAGACAAAATGAAGAACCTGCTAAGATGTCCATAGCAACCCAAGCAGTTCTTACAAACAAAGTGCAACTGCATGTAGGAAACTTACACTTGTCCAAATTCTGGATGATTCTTAAAGGGAACTGGCACATAAGTGATGTAAAAACCCCTTCATGTCCAATCCTTGTTCCAAACATGGAGAGAAGTTTACATATACTGAAAGGCAAAGTGAACTGTATTATTAACAATAGCAGTGTTTAATTTTTTTGCAACATGTATTCATGTTTTATTTCCAAGGTTGTTCAACCACCCATTATGAAGAGGCTCTATGGAGAAGAAATGGTTTATACATGAACTATTTAAATAGACATCATACCCATATTCAAGGACAGGTTGGATGGGATTTTGAGCAACCTGGTCTAGTGGAAGGTGTCCTTGCCTGCAGCAGAGTTGTTGGAACTAGATCATCTTGAGGTTCCTTCCAACTCAAACCATTCTGTGATTCTCTGACACTTAACTTAAAATGATTAAAAAACAGAGCCACCACCACCATATATCCACTATATATAATTCAGCATCTATACAATTCATTGCATTCACACAAAAAGCAATCTGTACAGAAAGAAATAAAACTCCCTTTTTTCAATTCTAACAATAACTCACCCCGCCAACTTTACTGCAAATGCTTGTGTATACAGCTCCTGAAGAAACTGCTTAGTTGTCCACTATGCACAGGAAAAAGAGGAAGCAAAGCATGTGTCAACAGATCAAAGAGCACACTGGAGCAGTCAGTAAAGTTCACACCACAAATGAAGATGAAGTAGCAAAATTTATGTTAAGTGATTTCCACTGTTGGTTAATACAAATTCTGGGGTTGTTTGCTATAAATTTTTAGTCATTATTAACTAGCAGAATCAGGAGATGATCTGTGCAGTTTCCAAGACAATAAACTATTCCCTAGTGTTCCTAGAGTTCTACTCAGCATGATGAGTCTCCTCATCATGCCTGCATTTGGCTGTCCTTTTCAGACTTGGTGGATTTGTGAATATGGCACAAGCACCTGCCTCGGTTTTGATAGGAAAAAAGCAGTATTGTTTCTATATAAGCCAATTGTTATTGACTAGATACTTAAAAATTAGCGTAGGAAAAAGAAGTAGAGTCACTTTCTTTACTCTTTAACTTCCTCACACTTGCTTAAAAACTAAGCAAGGTCTAACTAGTAAGTACCATGTACATCTGGGCAAAAAATACATGGTATTCTTAAAGCAAGCCAAAGCCAATGAAACCAGATAATTTGGAAAAGTTTTAAAAATGTTTTTGATTAACCCTTTTGAAAACTGAAATATTATAGAGCCAAAATACAAAAAGTGCTACTCAGAATCAAAAGTTCTTACTGGGAATAATGCCTTTTTCCATATCCCCTTCTGTGAATCTTAAAACTGTTCAGAAAGTAGATATTTTACACTTCAAATAGTAGCTGATCTTATTACTTCAAAATCAGCCACCATTATTCTAAAAGAGGCAGCCAATACTTACACTGCAAATTGTGGAAGAGAAACAGCTAATTTTGCTTAAGGCCATTCAAAATTCAGGGTTTGTTTTTTTCTGATGTCACACTTTTGTTTAACTAACAATACAGCATATTAAAATCTTGCCAGAATCAATATATCCTCACGAGTACCAAACCAAACATTACATTAACCTCTACAAATGGAAAATTTATGTCACACACATGAGTAAGACTGCATGATACTCAAGAACATATCATCATCACTCCCCTGGAAAATTCTACAACTGAAAATTATTTGTGCTAGCTAAGAGCTATGTATATTCAGAAGTCACAATTAATAAAACAGAGTAGCAACATTTTCAAAATATAAGACATTTATTTATATTTTACTTGACGGTGCTACAAGCTCTTAGGGTTTTAAGAAACGCAGCTATGTTTTAACCTTTGGTTTATACCACAAGAGTTTTACTGCAGGTTACAATAATGCCATTGCTAATCAAAGCTTCCTAAGCCTCTTACTTCATAAAACAGTGCCTTCCTCTAATGGGAGTTTCAAATACAGCAAAAATCCAGGATCCGACCCCTTACTGCACCTCATGCTTGAAACACATCTGGGTTAAAGGGGATGAAGCTGCTTGGCATCCCCATTTAGAAAACTCAGGGTTTTCTTCCTAGAAGATCATCAGTCCTCCTTAGCTTAGCAACTATCAACTTGCAAAAAGAACAGGTTGGGCCGTCAGCTGTGACATGTTTACCCTTCAGACTAAAAAGGCAACAGAAGAGATTTTGAGTATCACAGTATTAATGGCACTCAAAAGTACATGTTATAGATTACATGCATCCCATACCCTTGTTTAAATAAGAGATTTATTTTATTCATTCACCTGTTTCTTGTTCACTCCTCCATATGGCAAACTGATTTAAAATTACATTTAAACAGCAGAGTGGCATAGTGGTATCTTTAAATACGAGCTCAACAGCCTCAGGATCATGTTCTACACTTGAAAACATTGCCTGCAGTTCAGTTTTCTTCTTAGAAGACTCTAAAGTACTAAGGTAGTCCTGTCCTTTATTGTATCCCTGCCTGGTCAATAATATTTTTTCTTTCTAATAAACAATCCCTAAGAAAGCAACTTATTTTTGTGAACAACAAAAATATCTCAGCTGCCAGGCAGATACCATTCTAGTGTGATTATATTACCCCATAACAATATTAATAAAATGCACTCATGCCTACTGTTTTTGCTCCTCACTCTAGCAAATCTAACATATCGTAAAAAAAATAATTGTATTTCTCCAGACAACAATCCAATATTAACTATTTTGTTTCAGAACTGTTTTGGCATTTTGGTAACTTTCTACATGAAACATGTTCAGTTTACAACCTAAAGCACTTTAAATGTAATGCATTGTAATTGAATTTGGCATGTTCCTTATGAGCATGTAGATGAAAAGTGGAGACTTCAGCATAATAAATCAGTCACAGTCGAGGACAAAAATCACTGAGTAATCTGATATGTATACATATCACATGCAGTTAGTGTGAAATGATGGCTACATGCAAATCACCAAAAGATTTTTGTCTTCATTATTATGCACCAAGAAATTTCCCTCCAAAGAGGAAATACAGTTGTAAGACACAGTGGTTGGAAAGGATGTGACTCAGAAATTAACACAGTGCAGCCTGTAGTTATATTGAGAACAGATATTCTATTTCTCTAAATCTCTGCAACAATTATGCTTCAGACTAAAGCTTTTTACATACTGTGAATTTTAACAGGAATGAGATACATACTTATACTTATTGTCTATTCATATTCAAGGGAGTAAAATTATGCCTGGTCACAGTTATGAAAAATTATTGCATATAAAGCAGAAGTCTGAAATGGCCTTTTTTCCCCCCAGATTTTTCTCACACATATATATATATAAATATATATGTATATATACACAAAGAAAAGAAAGTCAAAGAAAGGTTTTCAGTTCAATACATTTATTGAACTTTTTTATACTTTTCACTGGCTAACACAACATTTACTGGAAATATACATACTTCAATTTGCTTCAGTTTCTGAAGTTCAATTCTGTACTACATTTTTGGAGTACAATTATTTACAAGGGTGACTTTTGGTGGTTTCTTCAGGATTATGCAGAGATAGCAACGGCTTCTGGAACTTGCTTTGTATCCAAACTCGCTGCATTTTCACTTTTTTCTTTCTGTTTACTTGTAATCGCCGATCAACTAAATTCTGTACTTCAGTTAATCCAGCCAAGTTGAACATGTTCCATACCTCATCTATTTTTTCATATGAAGAATTATTGTGATTAGAAAAAAAAGTCATTTGTAGAATGTAGTAATTACCAACCTGTAGTTCAACCAAAGATGAAAGTGAATCTGGTTTGCAATTTGAAAGCTAAAGGGCACTGCCCATAATAAGGCTTTTGTTAAAAATTCATTTTCACACCTCTTGATTTATATTGCAGGAAAAACTGTTATGCTGAGGCCCAAACCACATTAGTTATTACTCACAGCATCCACAGATACCCTTTCTTCACATGGTTCAAGATACCATAGTTGAGTAAACAAATGCATGCCATTTGGTCACTGTTAATGTATTATTGAGATAAAGCTATTTCCCCTGACAAATGACAATCCAGACTTTTATACCATATAAAGCTACAGACTCTCCTTCCAAGCATGTTTAACTCAATTTTAACAGAGAAATCATGTGCATGTTTAAATAATAAAATTTGAGCATACAATTGCATACAGGATACTTAAAGAGAAATTTCCAGTGATATCTGTAAACAGCCTTACAGGACCCTAAATGCAACAAGTGTGCACACAAAGGAAATTATTTTCTTACAACAGTTAGCTTTGGGCTTTTTAAAAGCAGAGAATTTTTTAAAAAGCCAATAAAACCTTCTTTAAATTTATACTTTAACATTTATAATCCAAATCATCTTGAGAAACACTCAACCCTTTCTATGAAACTATAAAATTCCATACCTTTGGTAAAGAAATATACTCTGGTTCCATCTCCTCTTACATAAAAATTTTCTGACAAGCAATGACCTAAGAAATTAGAGCAGTAATGAAAAAGGACACGTCACTTTTTTTTTTCCAGAAAGAGCTAAAACCAACAGTGAACTACAAAACCATTCAGGAATTACCTTTTTTAAAACGAAGTTGAGCTGTATCGTATCTTCCGTAGTCTCGAAATAACAACATTCCTCCAGGTTTCAGTAGCTTAGCCAACCTATTTACAACCCCTTGCATCCTTAGAGAATAGATGAGATGCTGGTGAAGTTTGCAAACATAAGCAACCGAGTTTGCTGCCACAGACCAAAAAGGCAGCACCACCTAAGAATAAGAGACTGTTCAGGACAGTAGCTGTGCACAGAATTACAGCCTTCCCTATATAAAGAAGTTTTGCACACACAGAAAGGAGTGTATGTGCACAACAAGTGAAAGTGCTTTGAGAAATTTTATCCAGCAGAACTAGAAGACATTAATTATACAGTTTAAAGAAAGTTTAATACTTCCAATTCTGAAACCAAATTTTAGAGGTTTAATACTTCCAATTCTGCCTTCTAGTAGAAATGAAGCATGTTAAAAATTGACTACAAGAGTAGCAATTATCAAAAACTAAACAAAACAGACTAGAGAAAAATTGCTAAGTAAGAATTTACTGAATATAAATGTGTCCCTCTCACACGTATTTTCCATCTTTTCAAAGTACGTAAGTTCTGCATCATGATTCCCTTGGTTTTCTTTTTCATTTCCCGTTTTCAAAGTTTCCAGAAAAAATGTATACTGAGCAAGATAAATTTCCATCACATTTTTCTTTAGGCAGTCATTTTAATTCTATGAGATGGCAGTAATGACTAAACACATCTTTGGAAAGTGGGTCTCACAATAAAGATAGTTACATGAAAATCTTTGTGTGTATACACACACATGCACACAAAAGCATCTATGTCAGCCCTGAATAAGAAAACCCAACTCAAACCAAAAAACCAAAACCAACAATGACAACCCTGAAACAAACAAACAATAAAAAGTACACAAACAAACCAGAAAATAAACTTCAAAAACCTCAAGTGTATTCTTAAAAGACTAATAGGAAAAGATCCACAGAAATTCTGACACAACAGAAGAATTCTGATTACTGCTTCTACATGCACAGTGACAGAAATTGGACAACAGTGATTCATTCATTCTGGAGAAACTCACTGGAGTTACAGAGATGTGAAGTCTCCTGATTGAATTGTTTTTGAAATCTGGACTCTGGCTTTGTGATCATCTTTGAATAAACAGAAAGGAGAAATATCCTATACAGGGAAGGGTTTTCTGTATAAAGATTTCACTAGTAGCAGGGAAACAGTTCTCAGACTTAGGCAAATACTGTTCTGTAGGCCAAGCCCATTTTAATGACACTCTTGAAGTAATAAATGTATTATCACACAAACAGCATGTATTTCCCTTCATATAACCTAGTTAGAGTCAAGAAGTTTAACTTCCATGACCTCTTTTACATTTTTTTTATTAAAAAAAGGTGTTTTCACAATCAGCCAACCTTAACAGTCATAAAATTTGGTTCATTAGACATTGAGAGGCATTAGCAAAGGCTAACTCAACACCATACATGAAAATTAGATAAAATGTTCTTAATCCAAATGAGTTAAAAATTATTGATGCATTTTAGTTTAAAAGGACTGTATGTAAGCATTTGAATGTGGCTAGATCAGCAGCCTAAGCCTCTATCAACATATTGTAAGGTGTTAAATCATGAATATTTGGTTTTGATCACTAAAAATAACTACCTTCTAGAAGACTGTCAGTCTGGTTTTTTTAATTTGCCATCTTTTTGAATCTGTCACTTCTAATAGAGATGTACTTAGTTACAATATATCCCATGTATTTTGATGGATACCGGAGACTCACTAATTATAATTAGCCTTTTCTTTTGAAGTCTGAAAATGGCAAACAGAATTTAAAATACCTTATATATGCTGTAGCTTATTAAATAACAAAGATTCATCATCTTTTGCTGTTATTGAAAACCTCCAGTTAAAAAAGAGATTTAACCCATTTGCTTTGCCCTTTAGTCTTCATTTACCTGTCAGGATGAATAGTAGAGAGCACAAAGACAAGGAGAATGACATCCAGGATCTCATCTGGAAAAGGATAGGGTAAAGCATCATCACACACATCATGAACAAAGGCAGAACACCAGGCTGAATTGTAGGACGAATGTGACTGTCAGGAAAAAGATAAAAAGAGGCACAGAGAGAACAGTAGTAGTTAATACGTTTACTGTGACTCAAGAAACATTTTTTCTTCAATTATTCTGCAATGTAAAACATCTCATATAAAAGCCTATTCTGTCTGGTACCTTACTCAAGCTGAGAAGCAAGCTCACTGATGGTATTCATTCCTCTCTGCATACAGTATGACTTTGTTCTTTGGAATATTGAAAACTTCAGTTAAAAGTTGTCAAAGCCATCACATTCTTTTTCATGAAGATGGCTTCCTGGCAGCCTCCTGAATTACAGGCTTGTAAGGTACTCTAAAGCAAGTGCATGAATTACCTTTACCAGCTCCACTGCTCCTGAAGCAAAATCACAACAGTATAGAAAGGTTCCAGGTGTATTGCTAGGAAAACAAAACCAATATCAGTTAAAAATTATTAATGTATAAGATGAAAGTCAACGTCAGTGTTCATGAAACTTCAGAGGGTCCTCTGGGGCGCTCCACAGGCTTGATCAAGCATGCTTTATTGATGTCTAGCACATGGAAAGCCACATAGGTTGTAATGAACCAATAGGGCAGACAAATTCATAAGAATACCAACAGACAGTTATTCCAAAAGAATTATAGCCTTGTCAGGGAGGAAGCAAAAAGGAAAAGAAAAAAGGTCATAGAGGGCTGTCAGAACTGATGACAGTGTCCTGGTGCTGTAATGCATAAATGCACATTAATAGGTCACATTTTCTTTCAGGAGCACTGCATTATTAGCCCATGCATGCAGTTTAATTAACAATATGATTTGGACAGGGATGGATAGTTGCAAAAGTCATCCAGTTCTGTAGAAGTTTGGGTTTCCATGTACCACCTTGCTATTCTTTTGATTTGATTAAGCATTATTGGCTATTGTACTCCATTATCTCCTTTTTTTCCAGCTAGGATGAAAAAGAATTTCCTGTAGCACTGTTTTCCCTTCTCTTCCCATCCAAGACTCAGCCAGCTGCAAATTTCCTTGTACCATTCATCAGGTACAAGTAATTCTAGGGAGAAGTTTTTTTCACCTCTGCAAGATAAACTGAGAAAGCTACTCAAAACCCACTGAAACATGACCTCATTATCAACTCGATGATCACTTTAATTTATTTTAAAAATATTTAACGCTTTGCATAGATGGCTTCTTTAGAAGGGAATCAATAAACTCTGCCAGTGCCTGTAAGATCTCGCAGTATACACAGCTAAGCTAGAGACTTCTGAAGGCTCAACAGGAGAATGCTTCTGGAACAAAGTATACTCCATTCTGGTTGCTGAACAAAACCTTTATCAGCTCTGTAACCACCATGAGAATTGATGAATTTACATATTTATTATGAATGAAAACAAGCAGCCAGGCTCTGGATCCTGTCAGTTCACTGGGAAAGTTAAGCTGATTACCAAATAGACTTGTTAAAATGTTGGGGTTTTAAAGATTTTTTTTTTTAGAGCAGAATAGGAACTATGTAGGAAGTCCACTTAAGACAAATACATGGCTTGATCTGGATGGAGTTTTCATGACACACTGTATTAAAAAGCACTAACTTAAATTTTAGGGGAGGCAAGGGGAAGAGGTTTAAGAGTTACATTACTAACCTTAGTGAATTTTTTTTGTAGCCAGGGTACAGTTGCTTGACACTAGCTTGTTTTAATATACATATAATTATATACATATAGATATATTATTTTATATGCATATAATTGCCGGAATGGCAATTTCATATTATTAAATTCTGAGTAAAATCAAGTATTCTATAATGCCAAGCCTACTTAGAGATAAGAGATCTTTCCATTAGGTCATATATAAGACAAACAAGCAAGTTGTTCAATGTATGAACCAACGTGATTGACTGAAGGATTTACATATGAATCGAGTCCTCCAGGAAAAATACCTAATGAGTAGACTCTTAATTATCAGAAATGCCAATCTATGACTAATGCTGCCTGTGAGGAAAACACAAAAATTTGTCTCATCTTTTTCAATACAGCTACATGATATCTTTTCCTATATAGGGTTCCTTTCAAAGTCTTCATATGAAACCAGACTCTCCTTTCACTACATGCTGTCTAAAGCAAAGCATTTGCTGTGGGATGAAGATGCATTGCTAACACTTCGAGGTTTCATGCATGACCCTGGTGCATCACTCAATCCTTCCTGCTGTGTTTCCATATCTGCAAAATGGAGTATTTTTGTATAATGGTGATACTAGCAATCAGAATTCATTGATAGAATAATGAATTATGTTGTTCTCAAGCTCTTAAAGACATGAATAATGAGAAATCTATTTCAACCCTTGAAACATACATAGCCTTTCCAATAAAACCTTCCTGCCTACATGGATGGGAGGACAAGCTGTCATAACAGATTTTTCTAAAACTGGAAGCTAAGTGGATTAAGATATTTCAATTAATTAAGTAATGTGATACAGGACTTGTGCCTTGACACTAAAACCACAAGTAATGAGACAAATATATCAGCCAATTCAGAAAAAATAGAACTTCTTCCCAGTAGATCACATGCCATTATCTATGGTCTCTATAATCCTGGCCTTTTGAAGAGAGACCTGGTAGCTTTACAGTGATCTATAAGACAAGAGAGTATTTCACCTGCTTGAGATTAACTACAAGAAATCAGCCTGAATGCACCCAAAGACAAACTCTGTCAGCAAATATGATCCCCCAAGACCAGGGTGGAACAATATGAGGACTATGTGATACTGATGCTATCAGTATTATTTGTGGTCTGACACACTAAGAATCTTAGGGCTGCAAAATGGTTCACTTAACACTTCCTGCAGCACTGATGCAGCACCAACATTTAGTGAAAATAAAGATGTGAATACAACACTCATATTTGGAAATTCAACACTATGTACCGTAGAACTTTCAGAATAGGAAAGACACTGTTTCCAGCTCCACAACCAACCTAAAATCAAAAAAGAAAGATAAAATTAAAATAAGTGAGCAAGTAAAACCTTTGTTATATTTGTCTTAAATAATTTGTCACTAGGACCCATTAGACTTGAAGGTATGTTGGACAGAAGAGGTATAATCAGCTCATACCACAACTCTCAAATCATTTACATTTCTACACAATGTCTTTCTAAAGTTAAGAGAGAATTCATCTCTCAAACTGCATAAGAAATTGCAATATTCTTGTCCAATTTCACCATCTGACAAGAATGAGGCAAGTGCTTGCACATGTAGACAAAGAACTTAAACTCACACCTTTCCTTAGGAAATAAGAAACCTGACCTTCAGGGAAAATGGAATCTGAAAATCTAGCCTTATTCTGATTTGGGAAAAACTTTAAAGGGAAAAACAAGTCCAGATTTAGGTTCCTCTGAAAGTTTTTAGCATAAATTAATGTAGTATGTAAAATTCCAAAGGCTTACTTTCTTGATACTTAGTAAGATTATCAGATTTTTAAGTAATTAAGGGGAGCTCTATATGATGGGCAAAACATTTGCAGTGCATTACCTCTAATATTCGGTAAGTGGCATCACAACCAGGGAAGGATTCTACCTTGCCAAGTTCTTCTCCACAGTTTTTACCTTGAAGATTGCCAGTAAGAGCTTTTGCTTCATTTTCATTATATACATATCCTTGCACAGTAGAACCACCTCCATAATTTTTCTTCCAGTATTTTTCTCCTTCTCCAAACATTCTATTCTTGAGTGAAAAACTGTTGTCATTATTTATTTTTGTCTGTTCTGAATATATTTTTTCTCTTTTGAACTCTTGTCTCCTCTCTTCTGGAAGAATTTCTGGAAACTCCAGAAACAGCCAATTGCGATCCTTGAAGAAGTTATTTTTATGTGTCTTGTAAAATTCATTCCAATATTTACTGGCTTCTCTCTCATATTTATCTGCAGTTAAAACAGAATAAAACCTTGGTGAATATGAGCTTAGACAGAAAATACTCTAAAGCAACATACAATTTGGACTTCAAATATACAGTTTAGAAATCCATAGTTCCACACATTGTACATTTAAATTAAAACGTATGGATTTTGTGTCTCACCTTAACTTGTGCTCAAAATAGCTCCTATAAAGGTTTAATTAGATTTGATGTCACTTAGGAAGGCGTAGACAGGCTTGCGTCATTTTTTAAAAAAAAGTAGTGACAGAGTACTACCACCAAAATATGCAATCTGAAGATTCTTAGACAAGCTTTCATGTCTCAAATGATACAAAAAAAAGGCATCTTTTCAATCATTTAAGAAACAGTAAATTGAAGTTCTTTCATGCTTTATGAAATTCTGTAATCAATTGCAAATTTATTGATATCTCATCACCTCCTAAAAAAAAATCCAGTTGTGTGAACTGGACTGATAAATGCTACTGCATAGCAAATAGCCAGTAATTCACGCTTAACCATTCAACACTACAGAAGGAACATTCTTGCTTCCTTATTTTCAAAATACTTCAGAGTCTTACAACAGACCTATGTGTTCACTTTTAATTCACAAAACATTCTGACTGAGTCTTAGAATGTCAAAGAGTAGGACTGGAAGGGATTTCACAGAGTCAGGGAATTCATACTCCTTCTCTACAGAAATCTGCCCAACTTATTCTTAAAATACCACCTTTCACATACAACTTTCTTCAGTAATATATTACAGTCCTTATTTTTCTACACAGTTAGAAATCTTTTCCATTACCTAACTAAAAACTTCTAACTCGCAATTAGGTCGAACAATTCTTGTCCCAGCTAGGGATCAAGCAGACAAAGCAAAGATTACTCTCTTTTGTCTTTGCAACACCTACTTACATATTTGAAATATTCTACTATGCCTCCATAAACAATCTCTTTTCTAGATCATCTAAACCTCTCTTCTTTTTGATTTTTAGACTTCTGATAATTTCAATTTTTCTTCTCTATATTCTCTCCAATTGATTTACTATTTTTGGGTGCTGTATGCTGGTAAATGCATTATTATTGCAGAGCAAAAGGAGTATTTTATGAGGCTTACAGGTTGTAATCCTGTTTATAACTCCCAGCTTGCCATTTTGCAACAGCGTGACACTGCTGATTCAGCTAGTGATTCACCACAACTCTCAGATCTTCTGCAAAATGACTACCAAGTCAATTGTTCTAAAACCTAGGGCTTTTTTTCCTTAAGGAATTATTCTGAAGCAAAGCAATCTGCACTCATTTTTAGCAAATTTATATATTTCAGATTATTTTTCCATTGCTTGTCCAGATCTTTCTGAATCTGAATCCTGTCCTGCACCCTGAAACATCTCTTCATTTAACATCATCTTCAAGTCTCTAATTTCCCAAGGTCACTAATGAAAATACCAAGCAGAACTGGACACAGAATAAAACTCTCCTCTGCCCAGCACTTCTATTCTGAAAGGATCTCTCTAGGCATCCACTCACCCAAAAGCAGCTTCATTAACTCTCACTTGCCTAACTTGCTTATGAAAATGTCAAGTAAAGCAAGTCAGAAGCCTGACTAAGGATGAACTTCAGGATGTCTGCTGTTTTTCCCTTATCCCCAGGGCCTGTAACCTTCTCCAACAAGGAAATTAGCTTGATTTTACATGATTTATTCTTGAAAAAATATTTGTTGGCCAGTATTCATCTCCTTTGTTCTTCTGAACCCAATGTCTGCACGCTCTGGATGTACTCTTCCAGTATTTTTCCAGGAACTGAAACTAATTATCTGACTCTTCTTTTTTTCCCACCTCCTTTTTAAAAAAGCAAATATTCTCTTTTCTGCTTTTCCACTCATCCATGTACTCTATGGATGTACTTTGTAACCTGTTCTTTCTCAGTTCAAGAACAAAATCTTTCCTCTTTCTCACTAGCACTAATTGTGCTAGCCACTGGACTGGAGCTAGCTAACCCTTTCAAAGGAAGGCTGATAAAAAGATCAGAATTACAGCTTTTCAATCTCTCTTTTGTTGATACTTTTCCTTCCTTATCCCTCCTAAGTTCCAAATCAAAACTTTTTCCTTGGGTTTTTTCCCCTTATTTCCAAAGCATTTGCAGAACTGTCTTGCTACCCCTGACATCTCTTGCTGCAAAAGTGTACCTCATATAATGTGTTGCCTTTCTTATTTTGTTGTCACTCACACCAACACATTAATTCTTTTAATATAAATGCACAGTGCGCTTCTCCTACTACTCTCTTTAAATCTTAACATAATATTTCCTAAATTGCTACAGCTTTTCAGAGATAAACAAGGCTGAGAATTATCATTAGAGGCACAGACAGGCAGTGGGAAGTGGTAAGGAGGTGGCAGAATGCCTTGTCCTAGAAATCTGCATAATGTTTTAAAATTAACATTTAATACATCCAATTGTATTATTAAAGGGCAAGACCCAGCCATGTAATTGTAATTGTACAGGCCTGTTTTATATTAAAAGTTCAGAGCTGATTGAGGTCATATATATATATATATATCAGATTTCAATAGTTTAACTTGTACATTTATAGATTGCTCAGCTTCAGTATAAAAACCAACAACCCTTCTAGTCAAAAGGTTCTTTAATTATTTTCACCCCTTTCTACAGTCACCATTTTCCTACAAGTCTGCTCAGAACCCTCGTACTTAAATTCACATCAAGTTTTCCAGATTCCAGAACCGAAGAAAAGCAATAGCTAAAGTCAGCCTTTCAAACTGTATTAGTATGGAATGACATGGGTTCAAGTGAAGGAACTCTTTACTTTGCATTGTTGCACTGGTCATTTCTGCAGCTCTGTGTAATAATATGCATGCAGTATTATCAAACTTTTATTTCATTTTGTGTATTTAATTAGCCTACCTCCGAAATTTTCCAAAGCATGTAAAAATTACATAACTAAAAAAATATACAAACTTCCAAGAAAACAAAAAAATAAACAAACTACTCTTAACCAAACAAAAACCTAAACCAAACAAAACAAACAAAACCAAACCAAAACAAACAACAGAAAAACCTCACCCACCAACCAGTACCAACCAAAAAAAAAACCCACCAAAACCAAACCCCCCTTTACTTTGTCAATCGATTTTTCTCCACAACAGGATCTTCCACTGCTAGCAAGCACACCTGAGAAGAAACTTCACATGCTAGTAAGTAAACCAAATTCTTAAAGCTAATATCATGAGTTCATTCAGTTCAACTTCTCTTGCTTTAAAAAGGCTCACCAGAGCACTTCTACTTTAGTAATACAATAGTATTGCTGAAATCTGTCTTTTTCCCCTTACTGTAGCTTTCAAGGCCCCAAAATAACCTGCTCATTAGCCTTGGTCTAGTTCATTGTTTACACAAATAGGCCAAAATGTACTTCCACTTGCAGAAGGAAGCTGAAGCTTTCTGAAGAAACACTATCAGCAATGCTCACCTATTGGAGTTCTAAACAGAGAGGCATTCATAAGAAATGTCCTTGGATTCTTGTGTTTCATAGCAATAGACAAAAGACTGATTATCCATTTCTCACCAGCACAAACTAACTTCTAATTGATTGTAGATGAAGAATGAAAGGATCCATAAGCCACCAGTCACACAGATTACTTTTCAATTATGAGCTCTTTTCCAGCTTTTTATACAAATCAAATGAAGATATTAGATGCAATTTTTGAAAAACAAACATTGTACTCCTGTATGTAGATAAACAATATGAGAGGTAACATAGAAAGGCAGGTTGAAAATCCCAGAATATTCAAGGTAATGAAGGGCACACAATGCAAGGCACATTCTCAGGTAATTCAAGTAAACTGCAACATTTGCCTTAGTTACACCAAGGCACAGGATCATAATGACATTATCTGACAGATTCAGGACATGCTAAGTAAACTGAGGCACAGGATATCCAAGTAACCACTTTCAGAATATCTTTCTAACAAAACAACAAATTAAGAATCCAGTCTTCTATGCTACTATCAAGTATATATTCCAGCTTTAGCATTCATAACTACCCTAGAGTTTAGTCTATGGTTTAGTTTGCCAGTTTGAACCTAGAGATATCACCCTTCAGAAACCAAGAATACATTAAATTTCCCTTCTGAAGACAGGCACAAAACTCCTTAATCCCTTGCAGAGCAGACTGTACAGGATGGATTGGAATACCTTCCACACCAAGTGAACACACTGATTCCTGAAGCACTCCTAGCTCAGCCTGGCAAAGGCAGCAATCTGGGACCAGCCAGGACCACTGCAACTTTCATGGCATTTAAGTGAAATACAGTGCAATGTACAAACACAAGCTCTCTAAATAGTTCACAAAGCACTAAAAAGCATTTGAATATTGTACATGGGAATCTTTGTCCCCAGCACCCTAGCTGAATGCAAATTCATTCCCTTTGATTCTGTAAAAGCCTTGTGTAGTAGAAGTTGTATTCTGGAGGACTGCAAAAGAGGTCAGAACAACTGCACCATACTGATGCACTTGTTTTACACGGAGTCTATTGCCACTCTAATTGTAAAATTGTTCAAATAAGTAACTGTGTTGTCAGAAAAACACACTGTGAGATCTTTTGAGGCAACAAAGGGAAAAAAAAGCACAAAAACAAATAAAAAATTTAGACAAAAGAATGTAGAAATAAAAAGAATGTTCCTGAATTCTACAGCAACTCCAAATGTTTTAATAAAGAGCATTAAAATAAGAATTTTTATACAGTTTGAAATTTGTTACCTTGGTCTTCCGACTGAACTTTCACAAGAGAGTTCTCTGTTGCTTTTTTCTTGGCATTCTCCTCTTCTTCCTGTGACCATTGCATGTGGTCCCTGCAAAAGGCAGTTGAAGCACCAGCTTTTCAATAGGGTTTTTCATAATATTTTTTTCCCAGGAAAAACAGTCATCAATTAGCTACACTGTCTCAAATACCTTTTTAACATTTTTTGAGTGCAAGCAAATGACCACAAGGAGACTGACAGTTAAAACCTAAGTTTCAGTGTATGATAGATAAAAATTAATTACTAGTTAGGTAAAAGTCAAGTTATTAAGAAACATGCCCCAACTACAAAGAGACTGAAGTAGAATGCATTTTTTTGATTAATAACAGGATTATATACATCTTGCAAATTAAATGTGTTTACAGGATGGTATTTTGACTATCCCATTAGAACTTTATTTAGCTGAATACAATAATAGACCTACCAATAAACACACTAATGAAAGAAGCAACTCACATTAATAGTGTTTATGATGAGGAACTACAGACTAGCAAAGAAATCAGCTGTTTTGAAACAGGGAGCATAATCCACCTATTCAATTGGAATAGTGGAACAGATGAACAGGATTTTACTTTTCTGAGGAATAGAGAAAGGTAACATCTTTAAAAAAACAGAATGAAACGTTTGTAAGAAAAGTCAAGCAATGCTGCAATGTTTCCAAAGTCTATGCCATCTATATTTGTGTAAAGTAGTTACCTAAACGTTACGTTAATCCACGGTCACAGAACCAAGCCCAAATCTGATCCTGATGACTAAACTGCCTTCTCTGCAGATTCTGCTTTGGATCAGACCATAATGGGAAGTGCCCAAAAATGTGCTGCAGGATGTTTTTAAACGTCAATCAGCTGGCCCTCCAAATTGTCCAGTCTGAACAGATTAAATTAGATAACATAATTCAAGTAATCTATTAGATCCTAATCCTACTGAACTCAGCTAACTGCAAGCCCATGACTAAAATTCCATTGGTTACTATGGGAAAAGGAAGAAGGTGCCAACTTGAAAAGTTGATTGTCTCTAAAAGCTAATGAGCATCTTCCTTTTCCGTACTTGGTGACATATAGGTAATTTAATTCTTAGACCTTCACTGTTCCTCTTCTGTTAATTGTGGGAGACTAATTGGTATGTATTTGTCTGCTTGCCTCAGACTTGATTTCCGCCTCTCTACCGAAATACTTCTCATTATTGTCCCCAGCAGGTTGCCTCTCCCCTTCCTGTATTTGTTCATATACCAAATGTTCCTGTGCAGTGTCATGGCTCTGACAGACACGCTGCAGCAGAATAAAACTGAATGACCGAAGCATTACCAGGCAGACATCTTCTAGGAAAGACTTGCTTCCCTCACTGCTATCACTGGTTTTGACCTTGCCTACTCCAGCAAACTGAAACCAAGGACTATTCAGATGGCAATAATACACAGTCAGCCCTTCTGAGAGATGACTTGCTGCACTGTAATCTTTAGCTGATCAATTTTAATCCATCATTGCGTGTCTGTCAGAGCCCTTAGGGGTTCTACACACAATACTAAAGGTGACTGAAGCCCTCCATCTTCATTAACAGCATTTTTTTCCCTTTTTTTCCCCTCCTTGAAAATTCATAAAGCACCTTATGGTGTTTTTGTAAAAATTTCTATATGGATCCGAAATAATACTGCTGCAGCACTTCTTGATCAAAATCTACAAAAGAGTAGTCATTGCATAGTTCTTACATAAATTATTTACATAGTATGGATGTTTCAAATGAGGCAGCTCTTTCAGCAATACAAGTTGGTAGGAACACAGGACACATAAGAATTCTAAGCACAGAAGTGTTTAAAAACAGAAGTGTTTTAAGCTGAACACTGAGGGCAGCAAAGCAAGCTATCCGTTTCAACCACACCAGGAACTGTTAACATGAGTAGGCCTGATATGGTGAGGTTTTGCAAACCTCTGGGTGCTCTTAGGCACCCACATTGTCAGGTTATTTTCTTCAAAAAGCCAAGCAAGTTAATAGTTATTATAAAGTTATTTATTGCAGAAGCACATCAGTCTCAAAGGCAAAAACAAAGAAAAGCAACGACACATGTGCAAAGAGCACATGGCATAAAAGCAAGTGGCAAAAGCAATGGCATAAAGCAAAATGGCAAAACGCACGTGGCATAAAGCCATGGCACAGAGTACCAGCTCTTCCTAATGCATGTTCTTTTATAGAAACTTCCCAGCTAGCTAAGACACAAACTCGGACCACTACTTCTTAACCTATTAGAATTCTGGTTTCTTAGCACACCAGGCTACGTACAGACTATGTACATGGTCTGTCTTGTTCTAACTGAAAAATGTAAGCAATATTCTTAACTATACCTCTATTATGTCTGAAGCTAGGTTCTTGGAGCCTCGAAGGAAACTCTAGTATGTTTTTCAACCTTCACTAGAACATGTACTACCTCTCAGGCATCTAAGACATTTTACTCACTAAAAGCACTTAAAACTTATTCCATTTACTTACTTACTCCATCTACTCACTCACTCATTCCATCTACTCACTTACTCATTCCTTCCAAAGGCTTTAATTCAACCCCTGCACTCTGATCTCTCTCTGAAGGATTCAGAGAGACCCCTGACTTACTGACTCCAACATGATATGAGATCAAACAGTGCTGCTTTCAGTTCAGTCTATTCAACTTTGTCCTTTTCCACTAACTTGTTTGCTAACTTAGGGTTTAATTATCTCTGTGATAATGTGAAAACTGTGTCAATTACTGACCTGAATAGAAGCAGGCATTTTTTGCTCCCATGTTTTGCATCATTCATTACTTCTCTCTCAAAACGACAGTAAAGCACCACAATAAACATCTAAAGCATTAGTTCCCAAATTTAATTTACTTAGTATTTCTAGCAGCAACGATAGCAGCTCTTGGCTCTCTGCCAATTCCCACAAAAAGAATGCCACTTTATGAACTACCAAAGATAAGTGGAAAACAAAAGGACATCATACATCTATGTTAGAGAAGGTATCTTATGCTCATCCTGTATAATCTATTTAGCACTACCACCACTCATCCTAATTCTCCTTATCTCCCTAGTGAGAATCCTGCCAAAGCAGTGAGCTTCAGAAACAATGACCTACCCCACATCATAGCCAGGTTCTTGATTTATCAAGACCATCACAACTTTCATGCACCTCTACTTCAATTCAGTTTCCCCTGTTTCCCCATCTGAGCTACATAGATTCACCTTCAAAGATCCACTTTCTGAACAGCCCTGTTTCTTTCACTTCCATCTTCACAACCCATCCCAACCACCTGCATCAATGTTTGATAACTGTGTTAGACTGTCATCAAAGGATAGCAGGAAAAACTGAAGCTACACATGATCAATTTTTTGAAGGAAATAATAAAACAAACAGTTTCATCAAAACCCAATGTTACAGAAAAAGGGTGGCCCTTTTCTTAAAATCTTTTCCCACCTTGATTATATAGTCTATATTTCAATCAGCATTTACACATGAAAAGGATTCATCCACCAAGCAGGAAGGACTAAGCCTGGAAGATGCTTAAGAACTACACTGCATATAGATTTATGAAATACAGAGACAAACTTTACACTCCTAGCACATTCAGGCAGCTTCCAGCTTCCTTGACTAAGGAAGCATAGCCAACTCCAAACTTAGCCTTAAAGTGATAAGTGCTAGGGACCACAGCCTGGGGACATCTAGTTTAGAACTAACAGGTGACAAATCTAGTTGTGTATCTAACTAATGAGTTAAGCCCAAATTTAAAGACTAAAAGGAGCTATGAAGATACTAGTTTATCAACAAAATCTTCTGTATCATATTCTTAAGACTTTTTATTCATCAGAATATTGATATAGAGAATATTTTGAAATCATTTCAATTAAAAAGCAAAGTGGAACAATAACATGGGTTATAAAAAAATATTTTAAAAACCCCGGCAAGTTAAAAGCTTGTCCAGTAACTTCTCTGACAGCTAACAGCAGAAGACAACTCTGAGGAAAGTAAAAGAATTGCAGATGACTTCTATGAAGTCATCTTAAGCCCTGAAATGTGTCACATTACTCCTGTGTTATATTACCTATTGGTTATTGTTAGCTGCAAGCAGTCCCTCTTCCTAATTTTCCTAAACCTTTGCTCTCAAAAATGGTGACAGAATTCAAAAATACGTTAAAATTTTATAAGAAGTCATTTTTTTGTATAGCTTCTAAATCTCTCACTTCTGAACAAATTTTCCTTTGGTTTAATGACAAAATTTAGGAATAGAAATTCCTGGTCTCCCATATATCTTGGGTAGCTATTTCGGAGACCAGATATTCTACTTTCTAAATAGATTTAGATAATCTTCTATCCTTCTAACACTTTCTGTATCACTTACTGGTTTTTGTTCATCTCCATTCCACAATCAAAAATCATAGGCTTTTCAGTCTCATTTTTCCCACTGTGTTGAGTAGCAGTCTCATTCTTTTCTGAGCACCCATTAACACGAAACCATCTTTTAGAGATCACAATGTTGCAAATCAGGGCAATTCTTATTCCTGTCAGCATTTACAAATTGATGTCTTCTCTGCTATTACATTGCTTATTTATGTTAAGATTAATTTTTTTTTTTTTTTTTATAATTGCAGTGTGTGAAAATTTCTGCTGAGTTATCTGTAACATCTTCAGTACACCTTTACAAGAATAGGAGTACTTTACATGCTCCTTTCAAAACGGTGTCAATTTTAGGCTAGGGTGCTAATCCACTATGCAGTGTTACTGTACCTAGAAACTTTCTGCCATTTTAAATAACAGGGACTATCTTATCTCTACAGTCTCTGTCTCCTAATTGATTACTGATCCATAATAATATTTTGCCTTTCACTCCTTGACTATTTGCTTGGCAACTTTCAAAGCAAGTCACTGAGAGCTCATAACTGTCAGACTACTTGTGACAGTCTCAGGTTTCCTCTAGTGCAACCCTCTTATGTGCTATTCTGGCAGCACCACGTTTTATACATCTACACCATTATTCATCAAAGTAAATAGTACACAAAATTATATGAAAATCAGCCTTGAAGAAACATCTCACCACATGTTATGCTCAAAGACCTTAGATGGATCAGTTAAAATCCGTGATCCAAGTGGAACCGCTGGTCGTCTATTACTTTGGTGCCTGTGTTGCATCTTGTTTTTCCTCAGACATAAAGCAGAAAGCCTTGTAATGAAGTTCCCTGTGTTGAGAGACCTGAAAACACATTTAACTGAAATTACAGTTTTGCAGTAACCTAATTGTTTATGTCACTTACATGAGAGACTGGTCAAATAACCAGGAACAGGTATCAGATTTACTAAAAATCATTTACTAAAATAACAATTCAAATGCATTTTAGAAAACGGCAACATCAGTGTGCTGAAAGCCCAAATAATCCCAAAGTAGGCTACTGGAATGAAACCATTCAAAAGATAAATTATCTTGTATCATTTCAAAGTCCTATCAGGGAGGGGAAGGAAAAGAAATACACAGTAAAATAATAACCCAAGACTGATACTGTACCTTTATGAACGCAAGCAAGAAATGATCAATAAAGAACACACTTCTTCTAGTGGGTACACACTGTCAGCAAAATTGACATTTTTCACCCCACTCACCTTCTTCAAAAGATTTCACTCTGGAACGGCCACTATGGTTTTATACTTTTTAATAGGAAATTAAATAACTTTTTTAAAGTGTAAACATAATCCATATAAAGCCATCCAAAATTTCTGCCATGTATTCTCCTGATCCCTGTTCAATGCTGTCTTTGAAATGTAATGGTTATACATGTTTAATTTCTATTAATGGAAATTAAAAAGTGATTCAGATTTTTTTATTACATGTGTCAGTTTATCTTATATTGCTGTATTTTACTTGACTTGGAATATCTTCATAGAGGATCAATAATGAAAGAAAACAAGTGTGTAGCTAGTATTAGCATTTTTGGTGGGGTCTTTTCCTATTCTTGTTAACGTAGGCTTTCAATGAGACGAGTAAAAGGAAATACCCCTCCTACTACTTTTACCCTGATGGGCTTTTGTTCTTTTCTCCTTAAAATTATTCTAAATCCTATTTACTCCTGCCTTTTTATCTTCTTTTTTTGCAGTGCTGCTTCTGTAAAAAACACACCTACAAATTTAATGCACTGGAAATACAATATGTAGTTACAAAAGAACAGGCATAAGATACTACTAAAAACATTCTGTGCAAATTGGTTGCAAAACAAAGATTTTTATCTCGAGGAAAACAGTAGTATTTGATCACAAGTCTTGTACTGTGAATCGAAAATTATTAATGTGTACACATCAATACAAAGACTGGCAAAGGAATCATGTCAATTAAATGAACAATTCCTTATTTAACATGCACTTTTGAATGAGTCATGCTTTTAAAAGGGCATTGTTTATTCATTTTAAGCTTACAGAAAAAAAAAAGGAAAGAAGATTAAAATTTATTTTTATTTGTCAAAGATTAAATAAAACGGAGTTTGCCTTATGGTCGACAATGCCAAATAAAACCATTGGCTACTGAGACTGCAATGTTACCAGGACATGGAAGCACTGCCATACAGTGAAAATGTAATATTTAGGCCTATTAAAAAAAAATCAAAACTTCTTCTAATATTAATGAGTTTATTGTTTGGTTGGTTTTTTTTTAATGTGGCTCAGCAACTAAAACAATTCCAATTTATACTTCAATTACTACAAGTTGTTCATGGCTTTTATTTGAAAATATGTATGCGTTTTTCATAACATAATCCATAATTATTAACATATATGGGATATAATGAAATAATGAGACACGAAAATTAAGACATCACGACAATTTCTGCAAAATGTGTAATTTACATAAAGGCAATGAAAAATAAAATTTTTGAAAATAAAAACAAATAGCAAGTCCTCCAAAACCCCAAAACCAAAATTCAAAATTATTATTATGAAATTATAGAAATGCTTGGATAAAGATTCCATTATTACATTGCAAACTGTTTACAAATCCTCTTCCTCCCTCAATTATTTGGAAAGACCTGAGTTAGTATCTTGCATTTCCTGTGCCAGCATTGATATTTGCCATAAAATACAATGATTCAGCTGCTAGGCTAGTCACATAATTTTTCTTGGCTTTCTAAATATCTCAATAAGAACATGAAAAGATGCACAGATGGGAACTATAGTCAGATGACTAAGATGGTCTTACATCAGTAAAATCCAGCTATGCAAGCCTTTCTATGAAAAAGAGTGATAATTGAACAATTTTAGCAGATAAATTCTGAAAATGCAAGGCAAGTGGGGTAGGTGAGGAAGTTTACTGCTGCAATCAATGTTAAATGTAAATGAACTCCCTTGAGACATGCATGTATATCCCTGAGAGTTAGAAGTCATCCACAGATCATGAGATTCGTGGGCAACATGGCTACTAAAAGCTCAAAAAGCATTAAATCACTTGTAAGCCTACATCATATTTTCTGAAGCAAGTCATTACTTGATTGTTTAACTGAAGTTTGTTAATGAAACAGGCAAACACTCTTGTTATCAGGTAATATGATCATACCCTGAAATTATGGCAGCAAGAAATGTTGCCTGAAAGAATTAGGAGCTCTTTCCCTGTTGACAGTCACAGTCAGGAATACTTTAATTTTGATTATTAATCAAAAAAATTCAACTTTCATCTTTAAGGAAATTAACGTAAAAGTGAATTACATTAAAAATTACTTACTTTTGTGGCAGCATAGCTATTTTCAGGGGAAAAAAAAACCTTTAAAGAAACAATGTACTTGATAACCATGTTGAAGAGCAACATGGAAGTCCTTGTTTCCCTGTGGAGGACTGCCTTTTAGACTTTACAATTCTGTCATTGTTACAACTACAGATGAGGTCCTCAGTTTAACTAAGAAATTTTAAGAAACAGACTTAAAACTCCTTCCCTCCTCAAACAAGCAAACACAGCATCTTTAGTATAGCTTTTTGCAGGTGAACATGTAGAAGAATGTAACACACATCAACTGCTAGCCAGATCTGAAGTCAGCATTAAATTAATTGATGTTGTCATTAAAACCCTGAGCAGTCACACCCATAGAAGAAAAATTAGATTCAGGAGAAAAGAACTGCTTTAAGATTTTTTAACTGTGAATTACACCCCAAAACATATGTAAACCACTTAAGTGATGAGTAAAATTCTTTAAAAGTACCAATTGTGAGAGATGTCAGAGGGAAAAAAAACCAAAAACAAAACAAAAAGAACAGGAATACTCTGTTACTTTTGTCCAAGAACCTAATTTAACGAATTTATTGGATGAAAATATTTTGACATTTGGCCTCCAATTACAAATCGAACAGTCACTAAGTCTACTTGTAGAGTCTCTGTTATAAGGACAAAAATAGCCTATATTAGGAACAGTATGTGCAGCTTTTGTTACATTCCCATTCCATACAGAAAAGTATTCTGGAAACAACTGACTTCATAACATTACTTCTGCTTGGTACCTAGAAATTCATCTAGACAACATATGACCATTAATCCCCAATGCTCTTCTGTAAAGCCTTGCTAATCTGTATTATCACCATCAAACACGACCAAAACTCAAAACTCCTTACACAACAGAGATGCAAGTGGCTATCGGGGACAGAAAGGAAAAAAAATTCAAGATAATGGTAACACAGAATTCATGTAACTATGAATTACCAGTAGGTATTTTTTTAAATACATACATCCTAATATTTCTAATCTGGGTGGGGTGACTTTACTGTCAATCGGACTAATTCATTAACCAAGTGCTTAATCCTATTCTATTTGACCAAGTGACTAATCATGCCCTCTTGGGGCTTCATGATTAGTTTTTCAGTTATATACTTGCAAAAAATTATGCACATTTGAAACAACAGGGTATTTCACAACTTCTTAAAGTCAGCAGATCTAAAAATTTCAACTGTTTTCCTTTCTCATGCACCAGGAATGGTGTAGACCTCCCTGTGAGCATACAGCAACTTCAGTAAAACCGCTGCAGAGCAGTGCCTCCCAGGGGAAAAGAAAAAACAAAAGAAAAAAAATTTGATTTATTCTGATTCCTAAAGAGACAACAAAGTTAAAATTAGTTAAAAAGCAAAGCAGATGAAAACAAACAAACCTGCCCCACGAGATATGATTTTAATCACATATACATGTGCTGAGTGAGATGTGCTTGTTCTTCCACAAGCTGCAAGGGAGCCTGTTAAAAATAGTCAAGCAAAGAGGAAATAGTTTATGCTATGAGAGAGAAGGAGAGATAAATCCTGCGGATTTACTGGAAACATTTACTTGAATAATCAAAGAAGGGTTCCTCGTTGCCCTGCACACCCTCTGCTGGCTGCTACTTACACAGGAAGGAGGAAAAAGAAAAAAAAAGAGCTAGTAAGACTTTATGTGTATATATACACATACTTGCACAGTAAAAATATAGCTAAACCTCCAAATGCAATCACTTAAAATATTTTAACTATATTATCTACAAAATACTGAATATTTAAATGTATTGCCTAACAGAAGATTATTTGCCTCAACACCAACTATGGATTTTTTTATTAAAGGTGATGAGAATTGGGATAGAGCAGCATAAATTTTACTACTGTCTACAATTTATATTCAAGAACCTCATCCATTACATTCTTGCAAAGAACTCTGGATGTCTGTGGGGACTTTGATGAGCTACAATCTGCCTTGCCAGCTCTGAAGTCACTGGCGATATTGCAAATCCACTGGACAGTATGCTCCACTTGCTGCGCTAATCAGCTCTTTGAAGGAGCAACTGCAACCATTGTGTTTGTGTTTAGCTGCCTTCCAGCAGCAACTGCAAAGCACTGGAAACTTAAAGGACTCTCTCTTTCTTTCAGTATCAGTCAAGATTCAAGGTTCCACTCAGATTCCGAAGAACAGATATGGGCACACAAAAAGATCAGCAATTTTCGATTACCCCATTTGGGCTCCTGGCCTCTGGCAAGGAAAAGAATCAAGTCTGTCCACTTCAGTTGCTTTGCCGGCAAGAAGCGATTGATGACTGTGTCAACATTTGGGATGTAGCTCTAAAAATACAAAAATTAAGTGTCACGCATCTTAAGAAGTTTCTGTTGACTTGCATTTTTTAAAGGGGTTTCAACAAATCTTTTAACCTTCCCCCAGGTCCCGGTACACTCAATCCCACACCGCGTACCCAGAAAGGCTCACAGCCGGTGCCCAAAGGCCCGCAGGTGCCAGGCCGGTCGTTCACCCCCGGGAATGCCCCGCGCCCAACCCCGAGGGCTGAGCTCTACAGCAGGAACATTTTAAAAGAAAGAAGATACCAGTTCCCACTTGTCCTTAACTAGCTACCACTAACAAAACTTTCCTGCCTTTATTTAAAAAAAAAAACGACGGGTAAAATGCTTCCATCTGCACGCCCCGCCCGTCGAGCGCCCGCATCCTTCAGCGCAGGATCGGCGGGGAGCCCGGCCGGGGCAGAGCTCCTGGTGCGCGGCTGGCTCCACGGTACCGGCCGGCGGCTGCCGCCGACGATTCTCACCGAGCCCTACGCAGCGCCGGCTCCTGCCCTGTCCTCGGAGCGGTGCCTTATCAGCTCCAAGGCCGCAGCGCTCCCGTACGGGAGGGTGACCGCGCTCCGCCCGCCACCCGCGGGCACCACGCGGCCGCCTCAGCCGGCCCGGCCTGCCCAGGAGCGGCGGCGGCGCTCCGCGGGGCACGGCGGGAGGTGAAGTCCGGGCCACGGGGATGCGATTCCGCCCGCGGAAAAACTACAGTACCCGGCGGGCCACGGGGATGCGGTGGAGGGCCGTCCCCGCCTGGCGTCTGCGGAAACGGCGCTGCGGCTGCCGGGGAAGCGCGGGGCGCGGAGCACCTCCGGGAGGCCTCGGCCTGCCTCGCTCGGGTGCCAAGGAGCAAAGGGCCGCTCGTGCCTTTCCCCACTTCGCTTCACCTCTCGCCGGCAGGGCGGGGGTTTGAGATAAACCCGGCACGGGCCTGGCCCTGCAAGGCTGCGCGCCCTGCCGAGAGCGAGCCTGGAGCGGGGCAGAAAGGCGATCCCGCCCCGCGGGCCGAGAACATGCCCGCAGGCGGCCGCCGGCGGGGACAGGACCGCCCTCCGGGCGTGCGGGGTGCACAACGTCTGCCGCCTCCTCAGCCGCAGGGCCCACGGCTTCTACGCCAGAGATGCTGGTGTCGCCCACAGGAAGAACCTGGGACTCCTCAGGAAGATCATGTGTCAGGTAATGGCTGCGTTTCGGCGCTCGCTGCAGCCCTGCGGCTTCGGGCTTTCAGCCGAGGGGGCTGAGTGTCAGTCCTCAGCCCAGGCGTTCCAGAGGTCCCTGGTCACGCCGGAGAACAAGACTGGGGAGAAAAAAGGTGCAGTTTTGATAAAGGGAGTTAGTAGTGGTTAAATTTATTTCACAAGGCTCAGACCTAGAAAGGTAGAGAGGAAAAACTGCGCAGGCACTTGCATGTCTAATAATTGTGTTAGAAATAAGCTTTTATGAGATTTTATATCACCTATTTCCCCAAGATGGCTTCATATTTAATACTAATCTTAAGTTCTTAGTGCTTCATGTTAAATTTGAAAAGAGTTGGCACAATAAGATAACCGGCAGAGATTTTCAGGTAAACGTAACCCCAGTTTTCAGTGAAACTGATGTTACAGAAAAAATAGGAATTAAACCCATTACAAACTGCAGCGAACTCTTTATTTTTTTTAGTCAAAACAATTACTGCTTCCATACAGTAGTTGATAGACATCAGAAAAGAGTGTGAAAGTGAATTGGCAATTATATTGAAAATACATTTATTGGAAGTCACCTATTGGAAGTGTCTGCTTATGTAACTAGATCAATAGGCATGCAAGATTTACTGAAATAAATAAATATGTCTGACTTACACTTATTTTTTCTAAGACTGGAACCTTTGTTAATGGTGTAGAGCTCCTGATATCTCAAATGCATGCAAGAAAGTTTAATGTGAGCAGTTTATTTCATTAACATTTTGGGCACTTATTGCAAATAACAGTAAATACATTTTTCTATCTCTCACACCAAACATCACCAGCAGAATGGAATTAGGTGTTCAATAAATCAAATTAATTACATATAAAAGAGTTCTCTGCATATTTATACTCTGGGAGCCTAGTCCTTGTTCAAAAGTCATTATGGAAGTTTAGTGCCAGTTTTAATACAGTTAATGACAAAATATTTCTTACCCCTGCTGTCCAAAATAGCTAATTAAAAATATTTTAATTTGGTCTTAAAAAAGACAAAATTTTCTTATAAAAGTTCTATTAATTTTATTTTTAAAAACCAAGTAAGATTCTTTCTTGTGTATTCAGCAGTAAAGTTGTAATTAATGTAAGTTATTAAGTTGCAGGAGCCAAATAAATTTTTTTTCAGAAGCAAAGTTTGTTACAAACAGTCGTCACTGTTAAAACTGTTGCGTTTCAGGAAAGTACTAAATTCAAGAATGTTTGGACAACTCATTCTGCATCTCCTATTGCATATGAAAGAGGAAGAATTTACATGGACAATTACCAATGCTGTATTACCAGGTAATAAATTTACAATTATGAGGTACTGACTTACAGATTTGAGACTCATTCTGTGTTACATTGCTAACTTTACTCATGCAAACAGCTGCTGTGAATTAAATGGTGTTTACTTGGGAACAAAAAATAAGCAGGTGATAAATCTCATCTTTCTGGTGCAGTATAACCTCAGCTTTCAGAGCAGGAATGGAAGATTAACACAATTTTCTAGTCTTGCACTAAAAAGCCAAATGAAAAGTAGTTCTTTGTAGTCTGGCAACTAGCACTGTGCTAAAGAGTGTCACAGAATCAGCCTATGTAACAAGCTTGGTACTATGTGAATTCTGTATACAATATGAAATTATTCTTCATGTAAGAGTACAGCCTGCAGTGTGTTCTAGTTTTGGCAAATGTATTTTGTAGATCAATTCTCTGATCTAATATATTCTCCTGTTCCACAATCGGTTGCAGACACACAGGTTAGGAGGCAGCACATGGAAGGGTAGAGGACAGGAAATCTGTGTGCACCAGCCCTTGTCTTAGCCTGTCCCTGCTGTGAGGGAAGTAGCATGGACTTGGGAACTGCATTGCTGAGGAAGCTGTGGGCAGAGCAGTTTTGAGATAGAGTTACATGACACATAAAAGACAAACTACTCTGTCAGGGTAAACCACTAAGAGTTAATTAAGTTATTCTGTCACCCACAGCTGAGATCTAAATCTGCTTTTATTCCTACATTGTCTGAATGTTTTCAGTACTGGGTTAACCTGTCTAACATCTTTCACGTTTTTCTTTGTCTCATCCTCTCCCAGAGGGCAAAACTGTGCACAGTGCAAAGCTTTTATTTTGTTGCCTTTTCCCAACCTGGAAATGAAACTCAAGATAATCTTAGTAAGGAGGTAATATAAGGGGAACTTTAATGAAGGCCTTCAGAGGCAGTTATGGAAAGATGTCCACAAAAGCCCACCCCTATAGGGATGAATACACATTTGTAGGTTTTAGGAAATCAGCATAAATGATAAAAATCACCAGTTAGGAGGACAAGTGGTGATACAATCCCCCCCCTGCCAAAGTCAAGCCCCTTCTCTGGAGTCTCCCTTCAGCACCAGTTGTACTTTGGCCATGAGAATGTATCTCCAAGAGTTGTTCCCAGCCTCTCAGCCTTGGTTCCCAGGAAGAACCAAGCACTGGGGCCTTGTACATCCCAGGACTTAGAGCTCTGCAATTTGTTTTGTCTTTCTGCCTAGGAAAAGGCCATGGAAAAGTACAGGGAAAACTAGCTACTAGTACAATAGATGACAGAGTTAGAAATATATGTGTGAAAAATACAGGGAATATATGATAGGAAACTTCCAAATGGCATAAATTTTAATTAGTAGAGCTGTTTTTTAAAATATCTGAACGTGACACTGCACCTTTGTTATGAAAGGCAGCATTGGAAGAACTTGAGGGGAGGGTTTCAGGACGATCATTACTTTTGGAAATATGCTTTCTTCTTAATGTATATGACTAGAGCAAGAATATTACTATTAAGTTTGTTACTTAAAAAAAAAACAAAAAAACCCAGAGACTAAAAGTAAAAAGAGAAAACCCAAAACTAAAAGCAAACAAAAAAAAATCAGACAGAAGTATTTAGAGAAGGTTAGCTTTTAAATATTACATTATATTAACTATTGTTTATCAGGCCTTATTTTGAGAGCAATTTCAGGTATATTTACAATAAAAATAAGATGCTTTGATTTATGACCTGCCTGAGGAGAAGGCAGGATATATAAAATTATATGAAATGACTTGTTGATAGAAAGTGGTCCATAAAGCAGACTAATAATCAGCAATCATTTTCTTCTAGCATTGCACAACAGCCAAGACTAATTTATCAAAAGTCAAAGTGTGCCAAGTCTGAGAAAATAGAAGATGCTTTATTATTGGAATGCCCACTGGTAAGATTACTTTTTACTAGAGCATTTTTGTGCAAAATTTGATGAAACATTTAGGATGGAGTGCTTTTTCCTTCCTAACTATTTTCTCTATGTTTTTAAGGAGTTAGGTTATTAAAGGTTTGCAACATGTGCCTTATTTATATTAACTGAACATTTAGAGGTATACTTCTCTGAATCTCTCAACAGTGCATTCAAATGCTTTTTTCATAAGCTTTCATGGAAGATTTAAAAACCAGTGCTTTTATTCTTATGCAACTAATTCTGAATTCCTTACAAAATAAATTCTATTTATATTTTTCTTTATTTTTAATGGTAATGACAGTAGCTAGGAGTTTTAGTTTTCTTCATCTCTGTTGACAATAAAAAAACCAAAAAGCAGATACACTGGAGGCCCACTGAAGTGACCCTGCCCAAAAACTAAAGCAGTGTAAATACCATTTGTAGCAGTTACTGTTGAGTTACCACTGAATGTCTTATTTTGAAATACTCTCTTCTAGATTGGTATAAATTAGATAAATAAGGAGTTAATTTTTGCAAGGCAAGGATTTTTTAAAGGGTGCCTTTTTTAGAAAAGGTAACTGTCTTGCAGAAAGTGTGACAGCAGATAATGTCATAGGTAGTTATTTGGCATGGACATGAGCTTAGAGATACTGATCTGATTAGCAGGCAGGTTTCCTTCTTCAATTTTTGAGGAATGTGTATTTACTTTTGAGTTGTGCTGACTGTGTCAAAATGTTTTGTATTTTCCTGATACAACGTTTTTTCTAATAGCCTTTTTTTATGTAGGGGGAAATGCTACCAAGTCCATCAGATTATAAAGCTTCCCTGATAGTCTTGACAGTGCAGAACTGGCTTCTACGTCTCTCTGCTGATAGTGGAGAAGTACTGGAAAAAGTGTATCTTGCTGGTTCCTGCTGCAAATTCTTCAGGTATTAAACAACAACTAGGCTTTGTATCATTAACAGTTGGTAGTAGTATAGTGGAGAAGGAGAGTTTAATATAATTAACAGTGATTAGTACCATAGAGGACTAGGGCAAATGTTTTATTTTAGTACTACCCTATGGCTGACAACAGGCTTGTTAATCTAGAACATTACCTGGAGTACTGTTCCTGCATGCTTTTACCTGTAGAAGAATTTCATCTGCTTAAGTATTACGGGGTCAAATTTGATACCAAGTTCTACAGAACCTAGCCTACTATTTGCTTTTCCCTGACAACTTTACAGCCTTTACTATTGTAATGGCAACCTACCAGGAGAGGATTTTAAGAGCTTAAAAACAAACCTGATCAAATATACAAACAATATGTTTGAAGTCTGAGCTGGTTTTAATTTGCAAAGGTTTTTCTCCATAAGGTACTCATATTTCTCTTTTAAAACAGGGCAGTTAGTGCTTTTGATAAACTGCTTCTTTTTTTTGGTTTTCAGAAAAAAAGTATTTTCTTTAGGCTAAAAGATAAGAAAGTGGTGATTAATAAGGGAAGGAGAAAAATTAAGATAGTGAATATTCATCCTTTCCAAATTTTTCTCACAATCCTGTATGAAATAAGTCATTCCTAGTTCCATGGATTTCTGCATTATTGCAAACAGCAAACATCTTGAGCACCTCTTCCAAATCAAATACTGAAGTTTGCCTGGGCACAGACATCTGCTTAGTTATATTTGATTGTATTTTATGTGAAATATTAATAAATTATTTTTAAGTGATTAAGACAGGCCTTTCTTGTCACAAATAGGTATCTGAGCTGGGATACTCCTCAAGAGGTAATGATTGTAAAGTCAGCTCAGAATAAGCTTCCTGCAGCAGCACGGCAGGTAAGTGTGTTGAAAAACTCATTTTTACAACATTGATAAAAAAAAATTTACAACCACAAAGATGGGGACGTTATACTTGGTTATAGTAGAGGATAAAGGTGTCCTACCTTTAATAACTGTATTCAGTATTGTTCCTTCCCAGGCAGGAATCCAACAGACTGTATTGTTTTATCTTGCTGTATTCCAAGTTTTGCCTCTTTCATTCATTGGAATGCTGGAAATAAACAAAAAGGTAATTTAATTTCTCTAATAATATGTAATCTGTATTGTAGTTTCTATGACAGCTGTAGTTTAGGCACTTATTTCAGAATTTCAGAAGTCATACTTACAGTTTGTAAGTATGCAACTGAAACATTAATTAGCAGCAGTGTTCTTGTGTCTGATAGTGGCATTGGGGCAAATATTCCTAATTATAATGACCAGAAGAGAAGGTGTAAATGGATTCTGTTACTGCGTTACTCTTTGACATGTAACAGGACTTTAGCCTTTTCTTAGAGCAGTCATAAAATTTAGGGAACCCTAAAGTGTTTGTCACTTCTTTTCACCTCCTTAAAGAAAGACAGAAGTGCCTCTGACCCAGTCCTAGTAACAGTCTATGAATTCTACATGCAGTTACAAATGTTTCACACTTCACACTTTTATTATCACTGTTACTGAATGACAAAAGTAAATAACGTTTTGCTTTATCAGTCAAGAACAAACAACCTGAGTTCAGTTTCTGACCTGTAAGTAAGTGTATATACTTAGGAAGAAACTTTGAGCCAGATTGTAGTTTTGACTCTTCTATTTTAAGTCAGGAAAGCTCTGGATACAAATTACACATGAAACAGTACAAACATGCAAACTCTGTCTTTTAGGTTCTGTGAGGTACACTCTCTTTTAGGGTCTAGAGCTATAGGCTGGAGTTTTAGCTGATGCTAGGTTGAGTTGAGGCTCTAATTGAAACTGGGCCTGGCAAGTGAAGGCAGGGGGTTAAACTTTTTCATTTGGGCCCATGACAGCTTGGAGGTACTGTGTATTGTTCAAAATTAGTATTTAGGACTGGAAGAAACATTACCAGTACCAAAGGTATTCTCAATCTGGTTAGGAATGGCATGCCAGATTCATTGTGGTCATAGGAGGCAAAACATGTGAAAGAGCACTTCTTCAGCTGGGTCTGTAGCAAGTATTCATCAGAGAAATTGTTCAAACTGTAATGGAAGGGGCAGCATTTGAGATGTGACAATCCACCCAGCAGGAGATGCAAGCAGGGAAGGCAAAGCCAGACCTGACACAGATCAGTGGAATGTAACTTAGATTTGAGATGGGGTTAGTGTCACTGCTTAAGGCTGCAGAACGCATCCACTTGGCAGCTTTACTGAGATGGCATACCACAATACCACAATACATTCTGAGCTCAGAGTGGCTGAGGTCTCAAGGATAGGAAGGAGACTTTATGGTTGGAAGATTATTAGAGTTTGTGTCTGAAAGACACAGACCTAAGCTAACAAATGAATTGAGAAAGAGCAATAAAGCAAAATAAAAGGCAAAGTCTCAGGGGTAAATATATCTTTCAGAACTGAACAGATCACAAAATTGCTGGTAGTTTTAAGATGTAGGTGTCTTACAGTTTCTGAGTTTCCTAAGTTTTTTATTGTTTTTAAGCCTGTTTTAACTTTGGTTCAATTGCTTTTTCACATAGTGAGTCAGATTAAAGAAAACTACATTTTCAAGCATATCTATTTAAAAAAATCTATCAACCTCACGTGTTGGTATTAATTAAATATTAAGAATTAGTTTGTAGGGTTTGCTCAGTGATGTGTTAAGCAGTGGCACAAATGAGTAGTGCATAATTATTAAAAGAGATAAATCAGCTTCTCATGTATGTCTAATTTGGATTCAGAGAAAACCCTGTACTCTATGACAGCTGGATAATGTAGTTTTAGTACAGCTGTACACAGTCATAGTTGTGATTAGACTAGTATTTTACCCTGGGGATGAAGAAAGAACAGAAGATCTGAAATCAGGACTTTTAGATTGAGTTGCTAGTTTTGCTAACATGGGATGCTGAATAATATAAGCTATTCATGTATGATAATAACTGGGTAGCATGATATGAAGATATACTGAGAATTGATTAGAGCATGAATCTGCTTGCAGAATATGACTGATGTAACCTCAGGTGTTACTGCAGTGCAGTGGATTAAAGAAACAGCAAAACAGATGAGTTACAGAAAACTTAAACACTGATCATAGACTTTGGTCAGAATAAAAAAAATAAAGTGATTGAAAAATCGAGGATATAATGTCAGTTATTTGTGTTCTCTCAATTATTTCTTCTCTAATAGAATATTTTTTGATTCCTTTTATTCCAGATTTTTGGTAATAGTGTGACAGATGTTGCTGTTTCTAATGGAATCCTGATTGTAATGTACAGCATGGGTCTGGTCAGACTCTATAACTTCAAGGCCATTTTGGAACAGGTAATGAAAAAAAGAGGTTTCATCCAGTCCACGCTACTTTTGGGTAACAAGTCATAAATATTCATGTACTCTACCTAAGTATGTGGGATATGTAGCTTCCTGCCTAGCTCTGTTTAAGGTCAGAAGATACAAATGGATACATTATCAGAAAAATTACTTGCAATAGTTAGAGGTGGCAAAACATAATAGATACAGGGTCAGACTGGCACTTCTGAGGAGTTACATAAATGTTACACCAGATGTGCTTCTCTCTACACATCTAGTCCGTAGTTAGATAAGATTAAGACCAGAAACTGGTGGGCATGGGGAAGTGTGATCTCAAAACAGAACTGCAGTTAGACTTGTGAGTTTATATCCTTCCAAACAAAAATCAAACATTAATTCAAAAATAAAACCTCAAGCAGTATCTAAAAAGATAAAGAATGCAGTAGTAATAGAGAGTAGAACTAAACAGCAAGTAAGTATGCATCCATAAAGCTAAATTGTTCTGTGTTATTTTAGTTCATGGAACAACCATTTGATTTGGGACAAGAATTCAACTGGAATGGTCAGGTGGGAGTTGTAGGAAAGTATCCATTTGGTCTTCCATGTAACATTAAAATAACAGGTAATTATCATCTTTGTATTAGCTTGACTGTGTCTTTTGTGGGTTGATTATGGCTTATTTCACACTAAGAAAAAAATATTAAAATTACTTTGCTCATATTGTGCTGTAGCTGTATTTCTGGATTTACATTATTTTAAAATGTGCTTTGCTTAACTTGTAATTACAGTAATAATTATATAGGACATAACAAGAAAACTGTTAAAGATTTTCAGATAGCTTAGTTGCTCTATAATCAATGCATGTAATGGAAACCCCTTTATTTCTGAGATGCAATTGCTCTTGAGAAAGAGGATAGCTGTTAGTAGCACCCAGAAACAGTATATGGTATGTAAGCAAAAGATATGAGAACATTTACTCCAACTTGCAGAGGAAATTCCAAGAGCCTGAATACAATTTGTCCTACTTGCATTTTAATATTTTGGTTGTCAGAAATGTGCCAGTTTCAGTAAAATTAATTCCTCAGAAGAGAACAAATTATTAAAAACACTTCTAATTCCTCAAATCATTCTTATAAATGTTCTGCATTATGTAATGACTTCTTTCTCTAAAAGCAAACAGTGGCTTCTGTTGGTGCAGAATTTTGCAGATTAGAATTTGGTGCTAAGAATCCTAATGAATGACCAAAGTCTGAGGCTTCTTTTGAATTTTCTTTTCTTAGTTTAAAAAAAAAAACATTCTCACAAGCTTACACTTGAGGCATCTAAAAAAAATTTACAAGGTTGGTTTCACAGATATCAAAGAATGCATGTATTTATTTATTTAATTTTGAATGTTTCTGTATTAAATGTTTCTTTTTCAGGTGATCGTCCATATAAAAAAATGCCTTTTTTCTTCAGAGTATCAGATAAATAAGAGAAAAATCAATCCAGATTTTTATAAAAATGAGGGAGTATATACATAAAGATAAAAGACAGACTTACATAGTGAAGTTATAATGCAATGTTTTATCAAAACAAAGCAATAGGCTGCTATATTTGATGTTTCAGTTTTTGCAGTGGGAAATCTTCCCCCATTTTTCTCCCCACCTCAATATGTGAAACCACCATTTAATGTTAGGGACCTATGGAAAACCTGCTATGTGAACTTTATTAGGAAGATTTGATCTCATGGCTGATAGATCATTGTAGTTTTTAGTTCTGAGATTTAAAACCTGTGTACTGGAGAAAAACTTTTTGATCTTTAATCATATTCAGGAATTTGTGGTTTGGAAGTTTTGAACCCATGACAAATATTTTTCATGCTTGTCTTTTGCAAATAGTTGCATTCCTGTGGTTTTTGAGTTGTTTTCTTTCAAGAATGAGATGGGCAAATGCTTCAGTGAGCAAGATCTTAACAGTTTAACAGAGTGCAGGCTTGTATTTACTATAATTTAACTGTGTGTAGTTTTCTTTCTTTCTTAAGTCCTAGCCTCCCTACAGAAATTGCCTGAAGGGATGGGCATTATTACAGTATTGTTTTTATGGTGTGAGGTACCCAAAAGGAAGTGTATAGAGATCAAAACTTACAGGCTAAAATGTACTTTGCTACAGCTCTTAACTGGCAAGGAATTGATTTTGGTCACAGTATGTGATTTTCTGAACAGCCCAGAACTTAAAACTGTAATTTGATTTATTGTTAGCTTTTTTTTATTGTAATTTGATTTATTGTTGATATAGTAATTTCAGAAAAAAAGCAAGAAGTATACTTTGTAGAAAACTTTTCTTGTTTTTTTTTGGTTTTACAAACACTTGTTAGTGCTGCCAGGAACAACTTTATTTAGATAAGTTTGCAGAGTTTAAAGTAAGCGAACAAAGAAGCTCAACTGGAGATTGAAAACTGGCAAGACTTGGGAAAGGACTTGCAAATAATAATACAGGAGGTGTTAAGCAACAAGAGCAAGTGACATACAGTGGGAAAGATGGAGTTGAGGCAGCAGAATCACATTATCACACTGGTTTACATGACTATGATCTTGCAAATCTTTGCTAAAGAAAAGATAGGCATATTTTATAAGCAGCCTCTACTACTCAGTACTGATATATTATTGAGATACATTTAATTGTATCATTTAGTCCATCTACCAGAATTTTTGAGGGACTTCAATATATAAGCTTTATTTATAAAGTTGTTTGGGTAAAATGTCACAAACTTCCTTAAATAATTTTTCATTTTCTGACAGATTTTAGTTTCAGTAGGTCCTTTGCTTATGCTTCCATCTTCAACATTCTTTATATTTCCAGCAGATGCATGAGTATTCTTATATCATATAGTTTGTTATCTCTTGCACAGAATCTCCCATTTCCTATGTGCCACTCGAAAAGGCAAATGGGACACAGCCACTTTCCAGCTTAGGAAAGACTTCATTTCCATTGGCAGTGAACTAATTCCATCCAATCTAAATGGCTAGATTGATGGAAACATGAACAAAGGAAGAGGAGAGGAGCGAAGCACTCCATAAACATAATATCTGATGTTATGTGACAGCACCATTGGCATTAGGATAATTACCTAGACAAAGCAGGATAAGAACAAGTCAAAATCTGGATAAAACCTTTGGGACTCAGAGTCCAGATAAGAACCTTGTTCTCCTTGCACTAATTCAGTTTGGGTTTTTATATTCTACCTGTTCAAATTCTCTTGTAATTGCAGATTTTCTCCATGTTTTGTCATTTTTTTCCCAGCTTTTCTCTGTGCTGTTAGAGCAGATCTTCAGTCTAAAATCGATTTGGTTATAGCAGCTGTAGAAATTGCTTTAATGTAGCTAGTTGGCAGGAGTTGTAAAGTTCTTCACAGTCCATTTCGTTCAAAGATGCCTCTCATGTCGTAAACAGAAGACTTGTACTAATGGCCTGGTACATGTCAATAATTTATCCCAACTGAACGGAAAACTAGATAGCTTTTGCCATTAATTGCAAAAAATTCTATATTTTGGTTGATTTTTATGAACTCAGCTACAGATTGCATCCACTGTGGTCCACACTATTTTGTTGTATTACACAAAAGGAGAAAGCAGAATCTGAATATTCTATCTTGCTGCATTTAATTGTTATTTGAGGTTGCTGCTTGCTGTTTCCAGTTATTTATCACTGTTTTTCCCAAGAGAATAGTGACCATTTTGATATGATGTGTGATCTGTTCACATATGCATCCTTCCTCAATCAGATGAGCTGGAATAATTTTAATTATTTGCTGTATCTTTCTCATAAGTCAAAGGTACTAGAAGAGTATTCAGCATCAAGATCTGAGAAGGCAGTAACCCTCCAGAGGGAACTGCACATGTGCAGTGGATGCTGGGTGAGGTAGCATAGCTGGTGCTGGAAAAGAGTTCATAGCCAATGTGTTTTCACCAATCTTCAAAAGTTCTGAAGAATTAGGAGCTTTACTGGAATTTAGAATTGTAAGGATCAATGGAATTATGACTGTTCTGCTACTAATGGTGTTAACATTACCGAATATTTGCAGATACCCCACCTTTGCTATTTGAAGCATCTTCTCTGGAGAATGCATTTCAAATTGGAGGTTACCCTTGGCATTATATCATCACACCTAACAAGAAAAAACATAAAGGAGTCTTCCATATTTGTTCTCTGAAAGACAATGCTTTGGTAATATATTCAGAAAGCAGATTCTCTGAAATTAATGTGTATTATGTTTGTCTTCATCTCTTATTCTGAGTAGGTTATAATACCTTTGTTTACCAAGTGCTTTCACAGGGCTCACCCCAGTGTCAAATTAGTTGTCCCATGGAGTCATGTGTAAAATACTTTCTTCTGAATCAGTACTGCTTCTCATATTTCCTTCATTCCAATACAATAGTAGTGCTGTCAGAGCTACACAGCACTGTATTCATGACTTAAGTCTCATTACCTGTTTCCTTGCATGATAACGTCCTAATGCACTTCTGACTAGACAGCCTACTAAATGCTGACTACAGAATTATTTTAAATTTTAAGATGTTGCAGAATAAATGTCCTTAATGTTTGTAGTTTATCTTTGACTTGCACCTTCTCTCTCTCCCTAAAAAGATTTGATTGCTCAGTTTAATCTCCTTCCATCCCTATAAAGGTTTTATTAGTTAGTTTAATCTGTTCCTAATTATTTTTGTTTATGTACTACTCATCATATGAATACTATTTTTGTGTGAGCTCTCCATCTCAGCTTTTATTTTGAATCTGGAATTGACCTGAAGATCATTCTGTATTTCAAGCAATTTCTGGGCCTCTTCAGAGTTTCTTGACTAAATAAGTCTCATCTGTAAATGTCCTTATCTCTTTTGCTTTCCTGATCAATTATTTCCCTCCTCATTTTCAAAACTGATGTTTCACAATTGTAGCTGAAGATCAATTTTGATTCAAATGGATTTGCAGAATCCTTCCTCATCTGTTTTTTTCTGTGTGGGTTCATATATTTGGCAATTTGAATGATTGATGTCAGCTATATTTAACAAGAAAAAGCCACTGCCAAAATCCCAAGATTTTGACCGGCTTGCATCTGATAGCTGAAATCACAAAGTATTCCAGGCTTACGTGCTCCACAAATAATTTGCACCAAAGAGGCTGAGCCTGAGGTTTGAAACTCAAGTCAAACTCTGTGCTAATGTTTGTTGCTTGTCTTGACACATCCCATGTCTTAGATACTCAAATGGCTAGAATTTTTGAAATGTTTGCACCGTGTAAGTTAAATCTTCATTCGGCTTATTTTCAGGAGAGATAGGACAATATATAGCTAAGGGACAAGGTTATTGCTTATTGAATATTAAAAATCTCAAAACTGTTGCACTGAGTATCTTGAGAGTTGGAACTGAGGTTTTTTATTATTACTATTGTTGTTTTTATTATTGTTCCACTGCTATCCTTTCTGGTCATGTTTAGGAGCAATGCTTAAAAACCTCCAGAGGTATATATAGTGAGGAGCTCAATATTTCCTCTTTAATTAGATCTGTAAGACTTTCAAGATACTAATATTCTAAGCTTTCCTTTTCTTCTTCAGGCAAAAAATGGAATACAGGATATGAAATGCTGTTCACTTGAACCTGACTGGATATATTTCCATCCAGATATGTCAGGTAGAATAATCCACGTGGGACCAAATTTGATAAAGTATGAGCCTTTTTTACTGAAATCTTTCATTCATTAGAGAAGTTGCATAACTACATAAATTCAGTAGTCTGACAATTTGCAGGCCCAAACACTCATCATCCTATAGAAACTGTAAAATCTATTAATTTGTCAGAATCAAAAGTTCTTCTAGAAACATCTGCAGATTTCTGTGTGATGAATGTGGGTGGTGCTAGAGGTCACAGTTTAAATTTTGGAATGAAAAATACTCAAGGACGCTTGTGTCAAAATTTCACTGATAAACATAAATTAAAAAAAGAATTCATTTCCCTTTTATTTATTTACAATACTTTAATGTAGTGGATTTTAAAAATTATATAGAAATGTAGTAAGCAGATTAGAATACATTACTTACTTTGTAATTTCTTTCTTTTGTAGAGTCTTAAAGCTTAAGGAAGTTAAAAATCGTGCAGATCAAATGGAGATTGCAGAAGATTTTACGATTGTAGCCAACAGAGAAAACTGTGTGAGTTTAGTGTCTGTGATCATGATGTGTGATTTTGAGCTATAAACAGGGAGTTTGCATATTTGAGTAATCACTGTGTTTTATGGGATTTATCCAAGGTTTATTGAAAGACATTCTCTGTCTTCATTGAACTTTAAGCAGTATGAAAAGAATTTTGAAAACAGTAACACTTTCAGGATAGATTTCTGAAACCTCCGGTCTTTAGTTTTCAGCATTCTTTAAGATGTGCAGTGTAACCACATATCATGGATTTAAAACATACTTTAAAAATGGTGACAGATTTTCTTCAAATGAAGGTGCCACCAAATAACAAATTTGTGCATCTCTAGTGCTCAGGTAAGTTGATCATACAAATACTAGAAATGTTTCAAGTCTCTCATAACTTAGTGGTAAGTCTTCATAAGACAACAAAGACACTACATTGCTTTCAAAAGTCCGTTCCTTTTCCTGGCCATGCACACCTGTCATTCTTTTGTGACAAGTTTGGCATTCATGTATCCCCTGGTGAGCCAAATCAGTGCACTGATGGTTTGAGATGCTACTTCTCCCATCTTCTGGAAGTAAAAGTTTAGGAAAAAAATTGGTGGTGATTCAGCAGTTTTAATTTTCCTTCCAGCATCTTGGTTCTAGTCACTTATGTTAAAAAAATTCTGGTAACCTTTGCCACCTCTGTGTGACACCTCTGAATATGAGCAAACAGCAATGTATCTCCACTAAAGTCAACAAGTTCATGAACTCACAAAAAGAAAAGAGCAGCACCAGGGCTACACCCAGCTAATAAGCAAAACAAGGTCAGAAAGCAAAATGTATGAAACAGATACATTGTCCAATCAATAGAAACTAAATTGCTCCGAAGTCTAGAGACACTTTTTTATGTTTCTCCAAAGGTGAACAACAGTGTTACTGTAACAGCTTCTGGTCGAGTGGTGAAAAAGCGTTTTACCTTGCTGGATGATGACCCAGAGCAAGAGGTAACCGATGTAATACGAGCACTTCGTGCATTATTTTAGTGTTTAGCTAGCCAGCCCTTCTTGTTTCGGGTGCAGTGGGTGTAACCATTACATCTCTATATCCTTGAGCTCTTTATTCCTCTTCTCTTTGTCTTCTTCCAATTGCTTCACATGCTATTTATCATCTTTTCTGCTTGGTTGATATTTGAGCTTTGTATCTTTTCTTTCTTTCAAGAACTGATCTTTGATACCCATGATACCATAACTCCATGTGACTTCAATGGCACAGAAAAGATATGTTAATGTGACAAATCATTACTCATCATTTAAATATCTACTTTGAACATTTCATATAAAGCACTTTATTAAATGAAAAACTTTTCCTCTTCTTTAGGATCCTCTTTTTTATAGTATCTCTAAACTTTTAATTTTTCTATCCCAGTTACTTTGATTGGATTGTAGGATAAGGTATTTAATACTTTTCCTTTAAGTAACTGCTTCTTGAGAGATCTGGGTCTGTAATTGACATAAGCACAACAGGTAAAATTCATCAGTTTCTGGCAGTCACTCCTATTCTTTATTCTGAGGAAATAGATTTTACTATGGTTTAAAATATAGCACAGTCCAGTATATTAAGGGTCTGCAGTTTATTTCTATTCACTTTTTCTTTTAACCATAAGAAAAATAATTGCACACTGTTTTTTTTCCTGCTGTTACACTTTACTTGTGATTCCAATAAATGTTTTGACATTTGAATTTAAAGAATATGTCACACTCAGATAAAGGCAATTAAGATTGCGAACTATCTTCACATTTTGGTGTCAGTTCTTCACTGACATGTAATTTGTGGAGCAAGAGAGAGATCTGAACAGAACATAGAGATATTCATGGGATTACTCTCATGTACCCATTCCCTCAAAACCAATGATGGTTTAAAGCTACACTATCTCTTAACATCTGTGCTTCAAGAGCCTAAATATATGTCTTTGGCCCCTTCAGAAATACTTCTTTTCCTATTTTCTGTATGCTGCATATAAAATATATATACTTGCACGTTAGGATTCTTCAGAACATCACTTCCTTTTCTCCTGCTTAACGAATTTTGCTGAAATACCCTGGCAGCTCATGTTGGGAAAAATGCTTGTTGGGTATTAGGCTCTCAAGGTTTTCTTTTGGATGAGAAGACTTAAGAATGAGAATTTGCCCAATTCTGCCTTCATGTGAAGAAAAAAGAGCTATGCAATTTAGGTAGAGGGGAATGTGAATTTATGTTTGATTTGTAAACTTGAGGTTTTGTTTTTTCTAAGACATTCAAAATTGTGGACTATGAAGATGAATTGGATTTATTATCCACTGTGGCAGTTACTCAGATAGGAGCTGATGGAAGAGCTCACCTTGACTTTCATTGCAATGAACATGGGATTCTACTTAAGAGTATTCCATTAAAGGAGTCCTGGGATGTGGTGAGGAAAATTCTTGTATTTTATTCCCACTGTCTCTTCCTTATACTTATTTACATACCACCTGTGTTCAGATTTCAAGCAGATATATAAGTAGTGTTGCAAAGGGATGAGAGTTGCATAAAATAATAATTACAACTCTAAAATTGTATGTACTCTATCAGACAGTAGTTAACTTACCTGAAAAACTCCATTATTTGAAATCGTGATTTTTTCTTGTTGGTTGATTTGTTTGGGGGTATTTTGGTTGGGGTAAGGGTTGTCCTTAATGTATTTCTGAAGTATAACTAACCGTGGACTATTTAAGTTGATAAATGTCAGACTAACTTTACAACTTGTAAATAGTCTCCCTAGTTTAACTTGAAGTACTCATGCACAGAATGAAGCATGGACTTCACTGTATATATATTTGGGAAGATGGAATGGGCTGTTCATACAGTCCAAGTTTAGGTGGGCATCCAACTTAGACGTCTGAAATTCTCAGCACTGTTACACCTCTTTTATCATTGACTGCATAGGCAACTTGTGATCTTAAATCAGATGCTCTGAACTCAGATTCCTAAAATAGCGATGTGAGAAACCTCTCAAAGTTTTAAAATTCTGTCCTTTATCTGGAAGAGTAATCTCTGTGTATCCACACAAAATTTCTGCCTGATCATGGAGTTCACCATTATTAAATATTTTTTTCCTCGTGGAAAATGATACAGATGTTAGCAAGTTATGAAATAGAGACTGCAATCTGAACTCTTTTTTTTTCTCATTTCAGACTTACAGTCACGAAGTTTACTTTGACAAAGACCTTGTATTACATATAGAACAGAAGCCTAACAGGAGATTCAGTTGTTACGTTTACCAAATGGTATGTGATACTGCAAAAGATGATGATTCTTAATGCTATTAAAAAAAAGAAAGTGTTTAGTGAAAAAAGGAGGGAGAACTTTTGTATATATTTAAGCCATAAACACCAGCTACAGAGACTTTTGGATGTTATTTAAGAATTCTGCAAAAGAATATGATTCTTAATGCTATAAAATAAACCCAGAAAGTGTTTAGTAAAAAAATGAGGGAGAACTTTTGTATATATTTAAGCCATAAACACCAGCTACAGAGACTTTTGGATGTTATTTAAGAACTCCATTCATAGTAGTCAACTACTGTTTTTCTGGCTGGATTTAATCTTAACATTTTGTACTACTACATAAGGTCTTATTTCTTTTCTTCTTTGTGACACTGTACGCTTGCCTGTAGTTCATGGCTTTTCATGTATTCACCAGTTCATCATTAATGCTAGATGCAGCATTTATTGCTTCTCTTCAGCAATAGGATTTAAATACTGGACATCAAGGAGAAAGACATGGATTTCCTTATTATCTGCCATCTGCTGTGGTCTGTCTTATGTAGTTTTACCTATGCAACTCTAATGATGCCTTGAGAGGCTACCTAGAACAAAGGCTAGACAGTGTTAAAGGAATAAAGTAGGTATTTATTAAAAGGCTTTCAAAGAATACAGCTTGGGATGTACAAGAGCCAGGTCATGGCTCTACCCAAGACGGATGACGGGTCACACATTTTCATACTTCTTAAAGTTTTGGTCCATTTACATACTAGGGTTAATTTTCCAATTACAGCTTCAGGTTATAAAGTCTCATCCTCTCAGATTGCTCTCCTCAGTTTGCCGTTGTTTCCACTTTTTGGGCCTGAAGCTGTAATGGTGTCCTTGGTTCTTGGGCTGGAAAAATATTGTTTTATCTAACTAAACTGTGAGGAGAACTTGTTAACACTTTATATGAATTTCAGAGTTATAAACTAATGCAGTACAGAATCTGGAAAATAAGAAAGCTAAAACTTAAGGCATCACTAATACAAACTGTTAATTAATCAAAGTATGTAAAACTATCTAGGATAAATTTTGTATGTAGTATGAAAATTGAAGTGTTACCATTAAACCACTTAGACAAAATCCTTCTCTTCGTTTTGTGTGAAAAATAAAATCACTCAGGTTTTCTGGTTGTGTATGTTTTGGTTTAAAGAGAAATATTAATAAATTATGTATTTTACTGTCTTTTTATATATTTTATACGTTTTTACATAGATATATATATCTCCAAGCAATTCTCTGCCTGTCCCTGTCAAGGGTCAGGAGTTGTTCAGTCTGAGCCAAAGCTCCCAGCTCTTCACCCTTACTACTGTGTGCAGCCTATCTGATGTATTGGAGTTCTATGTGGTGTATTCAGAATCTGCAGTACAAAAGCTTTCATTTTAAATTTAAAAACACTCACAACAACAAAACACAGGCTGGAGGCTTCATGGTGATAAAGATGGGCTCAGGAGCATAGCTCATCAAAACAGAACTCACTAGCACCACTGTCATCATAAGCATGGTAACTCTAAATGCAAATATTTATTTTTGCTCCAGGCTTTACTAATTAAGTTGGATCATTCTAGAAGATGCAATAGAGAAGAGCTCTAGAAAAATGATAAAAGTTTTCTATTGTGAGTTTTTAAAGAAAATGTAATGCAGAAGAAAAAGTGAATTACATTTGTGGAAAGAAAAAACAACACTAAAAAGACATTTAAAAAGATAATGAAACACAGTAGAAAGAAAGGGCAGCAGCAACACCCAGCTTCCAAAAGTTTTTACTTTGGGTCCAGGAAAGAACACCTGCTATTTTATAAGTAACTATTTAAGTAATATATGAAGGAGAAACTAATATGAAGCTGTACTCTTGAAGCAGAAGACCCAACTTTTAAGCAGATACTTAAATTTTATGCTCATTGCTGTTTGGATTTTTGAAGCAGTTCTTCCCAGAGAAAGACATTGAAACTTCATCATTTATTAAATACTGCAAGTACTGTTCATGAAGACAATCTGTAGCTTTCAGGAGTTCACTATGCATCCTTTTTAAGTTATGGCAGACTTACCAAGTGATAGTCTGCTAAATCTATAAATGTACATCAGTTTTCTGTTTGTTTGTTTGTTTGTTTTTTAATGCAGCAATTTGTAATGACCAAAAGCAGCCCAGGCTTTGATGAAGACTGGGTCTTGTGTAAGAAGTTCTATCACTCTAAATGCACACTGTGTTGCTGCACTACAGATAATGGCAGATGTTCCATCCTGGCAGGTCCCACATAGACATTTTCATTCAGAAACAGAAGAGGTTTCTATTTGCTTTAAAACACCTTGAAAGCTATTTAAAAACAGAGAATCCCAAACGACTAGCCCTGAACACTTCAGAGTCTTGGCATCCTACTTACAGTCTGGAACACAATAAAGGAGCAGAATCATTAAATGCTTATGTGCTTTTCAAGCTGTGAGTTGCCTTCTGTACCTATGCTGAGACCCAGAAAATTCCAAAAATAAACTTGTGTTTAAATGGGAGGAAAATGCTGATCACAAAACAGTAGTTTTTACACTGTTTAAAATAATTCTATCTAAACCAAATACAAATACCTGCATGCTTGGTGGCAGCTTACCTGAATCTACTGCTTCTTCTCCAAGTTAAATTTCTAAACAAAACTTATCCACCAGAAAAAAAGCTAGTCCTTTACTTTGCCAGGAGCTTTTATATGCAACCATTCAAACATTATTTAGTCACTGTTGCTGGCAGGGGTGTACTATTGTGTAGTGTCAAATCGATATTAAATGTGAATTAATGCATTAGATTAATTAGAGTAAGCAAAGACAAAAATTTTCTTCACGTCTCATAGGCAGTACCTAACTCCTTTATGATCAGGAAAACCATTTACTGATAGGTTTTTATTTTACAAAAATCAGACTAAGCAACTGTTAACATGAAATTTTGAGTACCCTTGCTTCCTGTGATTTTCAGGGGCTTCTTAGCACTCATGCCGTGGTTTCCAGAGTATGCACATAAAGCCTCAGTTAATTACCTCAAATGCAGTTTCAAGTGCATCCTTTAAAAGATCAAACCTGAAAGGCCCATGGCTTATGCTTCCATTATTTCCTCTAGCACTAGATGCTCAAGGGAGAAAGATTATATGTGCATAGGCAGAGACATGTAGATACATCAGTGAACTGTTAATGTGAGGAAAGACATTTTGCCAGCATTCACAATTAGATAACTTCACCCAAACTTTCTGTATTTTCAGTGTGGGAAAATGGTTTTATTTTTTGTTTGATTTTTTGGATTGGTTGTTTTTGTTTTGGTTTTGTTTGGGGTTTTGTTTCTGGATATGTCCAGTTACTTTAACAGCACAGTTTCTTGCTCATTTTATTCTCACTTTGTCTTTTATTTTCCTCTTATTATTGAGAAAAATACCTTTTATATTACTAAACAGTCACTGAAGATTGCCAAAAACTCAACAGCAGTATTTTTTTTTCCTTATGGAACTGTAAAAGCTATCCCACAAGATGTATAGCTAATAAATTAATTTAGTTCCTAGTTATAATAAAGATTGTTAAAAGGAATACCTGCTAGAAAGCACACCGGTGTAGGGTGACATGTAGGCTGAGTGCTTTCTGAAAGAACAGTTGTGAGGAGCTGCTGTTTGCTGCTTAAAGCAGGATCTCTGAGCATTCTGCCTACAAAAAGCAAGATGTTGGTCTAGTAATTAAGGTCATGGACTAGTGAATTTATGTTGGATTTCACCAAAGGTTCTTTGAAACAAACTTTCTGCTGTTGCCAGACTGAACAAATCCTAAATGGTAAGTGCAAAAAAGGGGAGGGAGTAAAATTGATTTTGTAAGACTGAACCACAAAAGAATATATAGAATAGCAGCTGAGTTCTTTTATTTTATATTTTATATTTTATTTTTATATTTTATATTTTATATTTTATATTATATATTTATATTTTATTTTTTTATATTGCTGCACTACAAAACCTTTAAAGAGCTTATTTTTTCTGGACTTGATCTGATATGCCTGTAGCAATGCCTCACCAATAATAACTGAATTGTATCAACAATTCAGAGAGGACACTTGAAGCTCTCTGGTTGCTAGATTTGTAATTTCTATAACTATAGTATTTATTTCTGCTTTATTGAAATTACAAAATGATGACCGAAATCTTCAGGTTATTATATTCTTGTAGAATATAGAAAGAATTAGAAAGAATATAGAAAATAATGTAAGTGCATTCAAATATTTATAGATCTAATAAAGTAGTCAAAGTGGTTGCTTTGGCTAAAAAATATTAACAACTGCAAAAATAAATTGTTTTTTGGGGGGTTGATTTTTTTTTATAAAAGGAACTAGGTATCCTAGCAGAGTGAAGAGTTAAAATAATGTGATTGTTAAGAGCTGCTTGGTATAGCTTAGTAACTTATTTAGTAAACTGGAAGTACAAATGCCTTATTCCTGCCTGAGTGGAGAAGGAATAGTGTGTTGTTGAGAACAGTATATTTTTAGGGAAGAGTAAGGGCACATTCTCAGGAAGAAAAAAGGAAACATGGTAGGGAAAGCTAAAATTCACTGGAATTACTCCACAAAATGACTCAAGAACTCTGGCCTACTTGAGCTGCTGCAGGAAGAGCAATGCATTCCACATGACAGGCTAGCAGACTCTCCAGACAGTCTTCAGTAACAGCTGCTTGCCAGAAGACAGGCAGGAAAATTACTCTGTTAATGTGTTTACTTGGATGTTCGTATTTGGACTCATTATCTTCTATTATCTACCTATTATCTTCTGTATCTGCAGTTAGTCTCAACTTTGGATGTTGTCTGCCTCTGCCATGCAATTTGCAGCATGGTTGCACACATTTCCATGCTCTGGGGCAACGGAAATCTAGGAAACTCCTGAATGTTGACACCACACTCTTCCTATTTTAGCCCTTTATAATTATATGTAATGCCACTGCCTCTTCTTTGTACTGCCTGAAAGCTGGCTTGATTTTATGGCTGTCTTAGGAACATTTTGTTCTGTGGACCAAAGCAGCATACTTCCAGCATTTCTACTTCAACAAAATCACTTTATATTTGCCACTTCACCATGACATCTTAATGATTGGCTCAGGACAGAGAAGCAAAAATGTGATCCCAAAAGGGCTAGCCCTTTATTTGCATTTGATAAATATAGCTGTTTAGAGACTCAGGTGTAATTTCCCAGCCTAGAAACTTAAAAAATATGAAGGAGTGACTTCTTAAAAAAATAAAAAATATGAAGGAGTGATAAGATTTGCTTTGAGCATAAAAAGAGTGCCCATCCTGCCTTTCTCTTGTCATTTGAGTACATAATTTGCTGGCAAGGCTGGCGAGTGGTAGGGAAGAAAATAAGAAAGCACGAGCCAAATAAAAACTGAAAGCAGTAAAACTTTATAATCTTGCTTTGACAATTCCAACTATTGTCCCACAGTTCCACAACTTCGAAAAGCTTTTACGAAATAATTATTAGAAAAATATCCTACAACTCACAGAAGCAAAATGTTTATAGATTGAAGATCAATAAATAGTTTCATTGCACAGGTAACAATGACTGGCCTATGACTAGTATAACATTCTGGACAAAAAGTGCACTATGTGCCTTATTTTATCTTAGCAAAAGCTCTTTCTAGGGTGGAGAATAAGTAAAAATCATTTACTGGAAGAGTCCTGTTCCACAGTCACAATTTGCAATTTGCAAAGACAAATTAGTGATGTTCTCAATAGCAAAGGTCAAATGGTTCTGTTGCTTAGGCATGGAACTCAGTACCAAAAGAGTTAAAAGATCATTCTGGTTTCTTTGTGCCATTCAAACCCTAATCGCTTGAACTCCTTTGTCTGTATTACTCCTGGTAAGAGAACTTCTACAGAGGTATTTCTAAAGCTTCCACAACAGTCAGTTAAATTAGCTGCCAAAACAAAGCTGACTGGACAATCTCAGCACTTTTGTCTGTTTACAGAATGAACAGCCATCAGGCTTCTGAAAAACTCATCCAAATGCTTTAAGGGATACTGTAACTTGTCTGGAATATCCAGGTCTAAGGCTTAGATCATAAGTGACTTCTCCAGCATGGAAAAAGAGATAAAGTTGTAGCTGGTAGAAGAGACTCGACTCTTATTCTAAGTACAGCTTTGACAAGTCAGTTATTAGTCACTTGAAACTAGAAATACTTCCTGTATTTAAAAAGTTACATCAGAAGCACAAAATAATGGTCTATGGACATGGTGTGTTGCTCAGATACACATTTATGTACACTTATGTTTAGGCTGCTACTCTCAAAATGTATGAATGGTATAGCAATGATGACAGCAGTTCCCAAGTACCACACATGTAATACTGGCAGGAATCCATTGTTAACTCTTCAAAATAATCTGTGAATCTTTGTCTCTTTTCGTTGGTTTTACTTTGTCTGTTTACTTTGAAATTGTTCTGGGTCTGAAGTCACAGTTATTCTACATCTGACAATGCAGCAACCCGAAGAAAGAAGTGCATGTTAGATCATGTCCCAACAGAACTGCTAAGAGGGAACACACACTGACAGAGTTGGTAATTTACTGGGAAAATATCATTGTCTCTAGGAGACAGAAGCTCTGGAAAAGAATAGAGATTATGAACTGCTGTAGAACCTATCCACAGTAATGGTTAACAAAAGCAGGTGTTCATTGATCCAAGAGACTTGGAAGTCCCACACAGAATAGTTTCGTTTTTATACCAGTGGGGGGTTATTTTCCAAACTGATCATCAAGTGCGTCATTCAGCCCTCAGCAGTCAACTGTATCATGTTGAGTTCCCATCCCCAAGTAAACATGAAATCCACTCGGCCATTGGAGCTGTGCTAAGGATTGCTTCTGATTCTGTACCAATCTGATACTTGCACCAGGTGGGCAAGAAGAGGTGGAAGAACAGGAAATGCAGAGAAATACAGGCCAGAGTTACTAATGGTGCTGCCTGAAATCTCTTCTGCATTACAGATGTTCCATAAAGAACATTTCACTTTGTCTAACAATTTCTTTTGCACTTTGTCCTGGTTTCGTTCATTTAACAACCTCTAAGCTTTGGAATTTCTTCAATTCTATTTAAAAAAAAATTCTTCATCATTACTTTGTAAAACTAGGCTTCATATTCAGTTCAATAGAATTTTGTTGTTGCCCTTGTTATTTGCTGCCTGAACCAGGTAAACCAGTTTGAGCTATAGGGATTCATTAAAGTCTTCTGAGAGATAAAGTTTTAGCTAAAGTAAAATCCACTTGAGTAGAAGATTCCTAAATGGAATTGTTGGGATACTGGATGTAATCAAAGCTTGTTGAAATCAGTGGGAACTGGAAGAATTTTGCAGTTGGGAGATTTAGGTTCATAGAAGGAAAATTAAAATAAACCTTTATATCAGTTTGTATGCTTTACAGAGACAAAAGTAAATTTTTTCTAACCATAATACTGAGATGACTTGTGTGCCTCATAATATAATGACAATCTGTCACCCTTGCAAGATTATGCATGAGTGTATTTATTGCAAGATTTAAGGCTTAGCTCTTCTCTTAGAGGCTGTGACTTGTGAAATTTAACAATACAAGTGTTCTACTTACCATTGTGAGTAGAATGAGCAACCAGTTAAATCCTGAGGGCAGGTCACACCAAATCCATGCAAACGAAAGCTAAATACCTTTATAGAAGTGCTGCTCAAGTCAAGCTTTTCTTTAAAGCATCAGTGTCTATTTTTAGGAGATTAAAGACAATAATGAAGCAGTATTTTCTTCATCCCTCTCCAATCTGGCTTGGTCTTCATGTTGCTACGTAGATATTTCCAACACTTTAGTATGTACAGTGTTTGAATTGGAAACTATTTTGAATTTCATAAAACTGTTTCCTTTCATTTTCTAGGCCTCAATTTAAGCGTGAGATACCAGAGAGCTCAAATGCTAGCCAGAGTAAATAGTATTTTTTCTCTCAATCAGTTAATGAACTTCTACTTCATATGCAGTTCAACACTATATATATTTTTAAAGTAAGCTAATCAAATACCAGAAAATTAGTATTGATTATATATTTGGGCATATCCTCCTACTACATTTGACAGCTTTCAGAGCCAACTGAATGTTCTACACCAAAACAAAAAGTAACTGCTGACTACATGATTTGACCAAACTGGTCTAATCTATCATATTATATTTTTGGCAGGTTGCCTATTGTCTCTTTTGCAATTCTGTTTTGTTTCTTTCTGTTTTTCTCTCAAACTTTCCTGCAATGGGCCTTTCCATATCTGTTGGTTTCATGCATTCCCTTTCTTTGCTAGTGGATATTTGATATATCTGTGCTATTCTACAGAACAATGTCCACATCCTGCATACTTAGGCCAGACTCCACATATGAAACTGGTTAGTATCTGTTCTGTATTTGCAGCACTGAGTGAATCCAGTGAGAAGAGGGGCGATCATGGTAGCAAGACTGTGCTCCAGGTAAGTACATCAGTGTCTTTAAGTGCACTCCTCCTCCTCTGCATTTTCTGTATGCGTTGTCTGTCTCTTCGTCGTAACAGCGCTCCTGCTTTATCTGTAAGTGCTTATGACTGCGGTGGCTTATCTTCATGGCGGGTCTGTGAACTCCTCAACCTCCAAAACAGCCTCTCGGCACAAAACCCGTGACCACCAGTCCTTGGCTGCGGGGGGGAACGCAGTCGGGCTGCCACCATGGCAGGGGACAGGCTGACACAGAAAATTCTTTTCTAAGGCGGAGTTCTGAATGCGACGGGACGCTCGGAGAAGGGCAGGGTGGAGGGGCGCGGAGGAGCGCGGAGTGCCGCCCTGCTTCTGCTCCCGCCCCTGCTGCGTCCGTCCCGTTCCGTCCTGCCCCGTCCCGTCCCTTCCTCGCCGGGCCCGAGCCCGGGCACGAGCCCGACCCCGCCCGGCCGCCGGCTCGCCCCTCCTTCGCGGTGCCCGCTGCCGCGCACGGGGCTCGAAAGATGGAGGACTACGGGCGATTCTTGGCGCTGCTGGCCTCTACGCTGCTGGTCGGCTTCTTGTCGGTCATCCTCTCCCTCGTCTGGGTCTTCCACTACCGCGAGGGGCTGAGCTGGGACGGGAGCGCGGGGGAATTCAACTGGCACCCCGTCCTCATCATCACAGGCTTCGTCTTCATCCAGGGCATCGGTGCGTCGGGGGCCCGGGTGGGCGCGGAGCTGCGGGGGTGCCGGGCCTGTCTGGGGCGGGGGCCGGGGCCGGGGCCGCGGGGCGCGGGAGGCTCCGGGCGGAGCTGCGGGGCGGCCCCGGCCGGGAGCGGGTGACAGCGGGAGCGCAGCGGTCGGTCCGCAGTTTAGGGAAAGCAGCACTCCCGGAGAAAGGACAAAGAGCCCCTTGTAATAAGCCAAAAATGCTACATATGGGGTTTGGGTTGTTTGGGGGTTTTTTCTGCAAGCACTTGTTTATCCTGGCCTGGGGATTGCCGTGAACTTTGAGTAATGCTTGCGAGGTGTGTTTTTCCTGGGCAGCTGGAATTTATGCAAGTTGAAAATCGAAATGCCAGAAATGCTGCCCTAGGAAAGTTTCTCTTTTGGCACTCTTCCCTGTCCCAGGAAGAGAAAGAGAAGTTCAGTACCACAGAAGCTTGATCCAGGAGCGGGTTTTTTGCCAGAGAAAATGTAGCAACACAAGCACTATTAAAATGTAGTTCTTCAGGCTAGACTTAGAATTAATTGTTTTGTAAAGTATATATCTTAAATTAATCATTTGTTCTGTTGCTTAAATAACATATAATCATTAAGATACAGGGTTGGGTTTTTGGGTTTTTTGGTTTTTTGGTTTTTTTTTTTCTTTTTTGCTTTTTTTTTTATTTTCCAGTTTCTCTAAGAGTGTACGAGCTTTGGATTTCATAGAGTTCAATCGTAGACTAACATTTTCCCTTTACACTTCCAACCAGTCAAAAGGCTGGAAGATGCCAAAGACTGTCTAGTTCTGGCTATGAAGAGAATGTTGTAATTTGAACATACACTGCAAATTTTTGGTTTTGAGTGGGAGTGGGGCTGTTCGCAGCCTTCTTGTGGCTTCAAGCTGCAAACTACTATTGAGCAATAAACCGTATTTTGAAGTTGTTTTACATAATATTGCTCAATAGGAAGTGTAATTTCAGGCTATAAATAAGCAATGAAAACCACCTGTTGACTTCACTAAGATCTATACTACTTAATCTGCTCAATCTATTTTTTTTATATAAGCATAGAAATTTTGAAGAAAATAGGGAGAGGCTTTCTGCTGCTGCTTCCTATGTATTTTCTATTTTTTGTCCTCTGAAGCTGTTTTTTCCTTCTGTCACAGAGAAAGAGGGTTGCCCCAAGCCCTGTATAAGTAAGGATATATGTAAAGTAAGTGGAAGTTTACCATAGCTAAGAAACCACGTTCATACAAGGAATTTACTAATAATACAACATAATTTAGGGAAGAAGTCCTATTACATAATAGGAAAAGCAAAGTTGGAGACTGAAGGAGTACTGTAGTAAATCAGATGAAATATCAACAGGTAAGATACCACTGTGAATCTGATTCAAATTTGGCTTATGGAAGTCTGCCACTGAATTCAAAGCAATTTGGATGAGAGTGGGAAATCAGACACCTCTTTGGACACATACAAGAAAAAAAAGTCTTTGAGTAGTTGAAAGTAGAAAGGTGTAAGTAAAAAAAACTTGGGTAAATTTAAGTAAAGGATTTTAAATAATAACTAAACCAATTTTTTCTTGAGTTTATTACTCTATACAAAGGATGGAAATGTTGTATTGCTGTACATTTGTAAAAGGACAGCTGTCCCATATAAAGATATTGCAAGATAACTCTGCCCTGTGCGATGTGTTTTAAAATCATAGTTCAAAACAGGAGTAAGATCTGAGTCAAAAAGCTCGGTCTCAGGTGCCTAGGCTGTCAAATTTCTTAACAGCAGTAGAGATATTCTGCCTTGAGTAAGCTCTTCACAAGGCTGCTTTAACATGTCACCACCAAACATTCTGTGTATGTGCTTTTAACTTAGGCTGTTTTAATTTTGACATGAAATTACACATCGCTTCTGAGTAAGTTTTTAAGAGCTTGTACTCACTGAAAGGTGAATTCCTTCTCTTCCCTTTGTTCCCCAGATTGTCTTCTTTCCTCCTGCAGATCCGAAAAGCACCAGTTATGAGAAAGGCAGGGAAAAACAGAGAAATGGTGATGGGGAAATAAAACTTCTATTTCTTGGAGAAAACTTGTCAAGAAGCAGCTCTAGGTTAAGTTATTCTTATGGACCATCTGGAGTTAGATCAATGGATACTATTGTTTTGTTCAGACTGGACAAAACATTGTCTGCTAGAGTTATTAATTCAAGTATAAGCAAAACTTCCCTACATTCATCTAACAGTAGTGGAAGACTTGTATTTGTTAAATGCTTTTGTCCCTAAAGTCCGATTATGTTTCCCTTATGCTGAAGAGCATTTTCCCATTCAAAGTAGTCTTACTTACTGGTATCAATGTAATAGACAGTCATATAAGTATCTATGTAATTATAGAATAGTATTATCCAAAGTTGGCAAAGAGAACAAATATAAAATAATCTTACACATTTTCACAACAAGTGATCTTCTCAGCCTAAGAATCAGGCTATATTGTTCCAATCTGACAAGTAGCAGAAAAATCAAAATCCTATGCTAATTCCCTGTTAGATCAACTTAATGACTGAGGAAAAGATGACACCTAGTTATTTACAGTTTTTTGGGGGGTTTTTTTGAAACATACTTAAGTTCGTAAGATATTTTATAATTGAGGAAAAAAATCCGTAAAAGCTGTATTTAAGCCTCAGTTGTGTTTTCAGAGTATGCTATGCTAAGTGTATGAGGAAAAGCCTTTTAATAGACCTTCTAGAAGGCTTAAGGTGGTTGGATTTTGCTGAAATTTACAATGTAACTATGTGAATTATGCATAATCATTAATATCTGAAAGAAATTATCCTACAAGGCCTAAAATCTTGATTCTCTTCTTTCTTCAGCTATTATTGTGTACAGATTGCCCTGGACCTGGAAGTGCAGCAAACTCCTAATGAAGTTCATACATGCTGGATTAAATACCATAGCTATGATTCTTGCAATTGTTTCTATGGTAGCCGTGTTTGAATTCCACAATGCCAAGAACATTCCTAACATGTACAGTCTGCACAGCTGGATTGGGCTGACTGCTGTTATATTTTATTCTCTCCAGGTCAGAATCTAACTGTATTTATAAACAAGTTGTAAATCTGAAGAATGTTTTGAGTAATTCAGGCATAATAGGCTCTTGCTAGTACATTGTAACTACTGGGATAGCCATTTTACACTCTTGATTTGCCAAATTATCATGTAAATGTACAAATATGGGATCACTGACTCTGAAGAAAACTGCATTTTTAAGCATATTTTGTTTATTTGCTGGCATAACAGCCATTAACTTACAATACAGTTACACAGTAGTATGTTTCTAAGACCTATTAACTCCTGAACTTACAGCAAGTTATTTGGTTTGTAGGCAGCATATTTAAATACAGTCAGAGCATTTATTAAGGAAGTCTCAAATGAAGTAACAGCTTTTCTATTTTTTTTCAGCTATCATAGATTTAAGTAGCCACTTCTTGATCTCAAGACTTTTGTTAATCTGCAGAACAAGTGCATTAGGAAGCAGTAGAGATGTAAAGGATCTGACATCTGAATGAGCTACTACTGGCTAACTAGTTTTCCTGAATCATCAGAACTTTGATAGATGTTTGTGGGCATGCTTTTAACTGCTCCTCTTGGCAGAGAATTAGCATTATTGTAATGTAAAATGAGCTAACTTAGTGAATTTCGCATTTGGCAAAGAAGAGCAACCATACCCTGAAATCTGCAGAACACATACAGATGCTTCTGCATATAAACCCTGAACTCTCTATATTGTGTTATACACTATGGAAATTTATTTTGTTCTTTCAAATTTTTTTTCCCCCAAAACACTAAAAAGAAAAAATTAATTATCTATGATCAAGCACAGAAAAGCCTCAGCTAAGGGATTTGGGTTCTGGACTTCATCCTTCACTGCTCAGGTCAAGAGGTACAAGAAACAGTGTTTTTAACATTTAGAACAAAAGAAAGCATATTGCAGCATTGTTGAGTATATTCTCCATAGCAGAACAAATTAATAAGAATGAATATGAATTAATAAGAAAGAACAGTTTGAAAATTAAGTTTGCAGCTATTTCAAAGAAGTCTGTGCTGCCACTACTCTGAGTATCAGTATTTTTCCTAATGGTTAAATGAAGAATTGTGACTAAAGTCTTACTTCTACTTTTCATTTTGCTACTGTAAACATGATCAATGGCTCCTAAGGCCTTGCCTGTCACATCAAAAGATCCTTGGTCTCCTCCAATCTGGGATGTAAGTCTCCAGTCAGAGACTGATGTTTGTTAATTGACTGAGTACTATAAAAAATAGTCATAAAGGAGTATCTTTTTTAAAAGAGAAGACACTTGGCATTTACCAGAAGGGGCATGTCAGTCATATGTTCACATAATACTGTGTCTACAGTGTTGGAACTATATTGTAATTAAGCCAAATGTAGGTTAATACAGTATAGCACACTGACATAAATTTAAGACTAGGGCAAAAATGTAAAATGAGACTGTCTCTTGGAAAACGATGTCTCTGGAAAGTACTCAAAAATGACATGAAGCTCTAAATGATTTCTCACAATGCTGTGACAACAGCAAAAAGATGGCATTAGTGAAACTAATATGAAATGTAATGATTTTTTTTTAATATAAAAGAATGATCAGAAAAATAAAAAGGAACAAACCCAAAGAAATTCTGGAGAAGTAATTTGAGAGCTGGAAAAGCTATCTTCCAGTGCAAGACTTTAAAAACTCCAGCTGTTTAGCAGATCTAAGATTAAGAGATGATTTGATTATGATGTACTAATGAGTTTCCCAGGGAGAAAATATCAGGCTCTCTAATCCATTATGGAAAGATAAAACAAAGACTAAGCCTGAGTTAAAGCAGGATGAAATACAAATTCATGCACTGTGTCTAATTTAGCAGCAGGGGTGAGTTACAGTAGAACAAATTAAGAAGGGATGCAACCTCAACATGACCGGGCAAGCCTGTGGATGCAACCATGGCACATGATGGGTTATTTTCCACCACAAAATTAGTGCTAATAGGAGGACTAATGTCCCCTGAATAGCTTGATGCCACCCATAGACGTCTTCACTCTGTAAAAGCCATGTGATCAATATATTGAGAGACCATTCTCCTTCTAAAGATAGGCACTTAAATTTAACTAAAATTCTAACAAGATAAAATTATTTAATCCACTCAAGTCAGAGGGTTAGACTGTCTTCTGATATTCCTTTATGTGCAAATCTGCAACAGGAGCAGAGAACAGGACTTGTAAGAATGTAAAAGTGTGGCTCCTCATACCTTCACTGTATTAGTGAATTAGTGACACTGAAAACTTGTGTTTCCAGTACTTAGTTTGGCTGGAATTTTAGCACTGTCAGTAAGTTTGGACACTGATATTAGGTAAGATGATTTATAAAGTATTTAATGTCTGCTTCCCAAGTGCTAGTCCAGAATTTTGCTTTGGTTTTGACAGGAAACATTAAAAAATAGAAATGCCAATTATTTTTAAATTTTTACCTGAAGATATCTCAGAATGGAATTTTGTATGGTTATTTTTATTGTTCTTGAGAAGTACAGCTTGTTTTCCATCTAGCCTTAACTACAAATCTATTTTGGTTTTAGCTTTTCCTGGGTTTTGCTGTCTTTCTGCTCCCATTTGCTCCGGTCCATCTCCGCGTAGCTCTCATGCCAATACACGTTTATTCGGGTCTTACCATCTTTGCAACAGTGATTGCAACAGCTCTCATGGGAATCACAGAAAAGCTTATATTTGCATTGTAAGTATTTGTTTACACTTGTTTATTAAGGTTATTCATTGCAAATACACTTCCATTTGCCCAGAATAATAAGCATCCAGTACTGAGACACTGTTTTGTTTTGTTTGTATTAAAAAGACCTGCCTAGCAGGAGACTGCTGTTTTTAGATCAGGATTGTCTTAAAAACAATCTTTTCTGACCTCTACTTTCTTTTTCCCCTTTCAAAGGAAAACTCCTGCATACAGTGCATCCCCACCAGAAGCAACTTTGGTCAACTGTCTTGGTCTTTTGCTTGTCATATTTGGTTCACTTATTTTGTGGATGGCAAGCAGGCCCCACTGGAAGCGGCCCCCAGCAGAGAACGCTAAAATTCTGAGGCCCATTGGAGCAACTCCTGAAGGCACAGAAGTAGAATCCACAATGACAAACAGCAGTAATGCAGATAAGTCTGATCTAAGGGGCAATACTGAAGCAGCCAGAAAACAAAACATCAAATTTGATGAAGCAGGACAAAGATCAACTATGTAAAGAAAATACACAGAATGAAAGTACTATTATACCTCCAAATTCCCTCTGGTGAGGGTCCTTCTAATTTAGTTACATTGATATGTAAGTAGGTTGGGGGTTCATTTTTAGTAAGGCTTGCTGAAAGGTACTCAAGTTTTCTGCATATGGATTTAAATTCCTGTAAGTCCAAAACATATTTTATTGGTCCATGACTAGTCCATGCCTTGTTTAAAAAAACAAGAGCATGAATGACATCATATAATGGGAAAATCACCTAACTGGAAAATGTCTTGCTTATCACTTTTTGATTTAATGCTTATATCTCTTATAGTCATGAAAAATTGAACAAGATTCAGACTAAATTTTCAGTGATTTTGCAAGTTATGAATCAGCCATGAAGTATAGCAGACAGAAAAATTTAGTCTGTCACACATAAATTTTCTGGTAATGTTCACTTTTTTAAAGCTCTGACTTCTCTAGCTGATTAAACCCCCCACCAGCTGCTATGTTCTATGGGATTTGAGGTCATGCTGCACTTGATAGAGTTGCTTCATAAAAAAGTTTATTCTAAAATTTTTAATTTAAAAAAAGAGATTAAAATGTTATGTTTCCTTTAGAAACTTCTGGGGGTTTTTGGTCTTGTTTTTTAAAAATCAGAATGTATCTGTTTACCTTCTAAGAAATTCTACCATATATATTGTATGCAGACAATATTTGGCTTTGAATTATGTGAAATTAATACTGAAATCTAAGGAAATTTTAAGACATCCGAAAGCAGAATTTGTCTTATTTGAAAAGCTATAGAAACACACTTAGAAAAATGTATCACTTAAACTAAGTCTTCCTTTTATACCAGAAGGCAGCAATTTAGCATCTTTATTTGATTGCACAGTTCTGTTGATTTAGGGCACTAGACTAGAAGTTACGAGGTTAGAAAGCAGAAAAATCTGCTATCAGTCTCACAGAAGAAATCACCTACAAGTGAGAAATGTGTCCTCCAAGACACAGGTGAGCTTTGCTGTTTTAATAAAATGCTACCTGTTAATTGAAAGCCAATTTGGGTATCTCCACACTGACATCAAAAGCATTATCATAGGCATGAACACATGCTTTAGTCTATATGTAATCTATACAAACTTTATGACTTTTTAATTTGAAATTATAGTTTTAAATAATGCAATTTTCTCTAAATAATGAAGAGTCCCTACTGGCACTTTACTTTTATAGCTCTTTCTAGTAATTGAAGTATTAATATATTATGCTCATTCATTAATTTCATAGATACAAACAATATTTATACTTTTACTACTATAGAAGAATAATTATAGTAGATTATTTGGACTGCACAAGTCCAAAATGATGAACCATTCTATTATCTCTTGTAAAAGCTGCAGAGCCCACTAGAAATACGAATTTACAACTGATTATGTTGGAATATAGATAGTTTCAGTCAGCATATAATTTCCTATTTTTTAAATACTACATAAGTTTTTTATCTATTTCAGCTTTTAAAAACATTTTAACACATTACCATTCAACAAGTGGGCCATTTTTGTAGTTCACTGCATGCTAGTACAAAGTATTTTGGACATGAGTTATTCTGGCTCTTCTCTGACATGAAGCACCACAGTTCCTGTTATTTAATAATAGGATTTATAATAATATTTTATTTGGTGAATGCAGTACAGAAAGCTAGCATAATAAAATAATTTTAAAACTTTTCTGCTATACCATTTGGTAATCAAAGACTACATCCCAGAGTTCTATGTTTTCCCTTATAGGTTTGTGAATGACTGGGACCAACCTCACATTGGTGTAATTTCCCACTGTAGAAAATACCTGCTTTTAATGTACAATTCAGGTATGACAGAAGGAACACTAACCTAAACTACTAAACTATTGTGTGAGCACTCCTCCAGTCCCACTATGTGCAATGAATAAACAGTGAAGCATGACAGAGGAAGTGGATAAATGAGCTCACTTGCAGTAATTTGCTATGCAGCTTTCTATACTGCACTCACACAGGCAACAGCATTTTAAATTGTTATGTACTGGCTTGTTACTGTATCTCATTCACCTGTGAAAATAAGCTCACTCAATCCGTGCATAGTACTAGGTCACAAAATAAAATCATATGTTTGTATGGAAAGTAGTCAGTTGCCTAGGGATTGGTCTGGAAGAAACTAACTGCACAATGTACTGGAAAAAACCACAAAATCTACGACTTCTTTTGTTACAGCACAGAGTTGAATGCTGTTGAAATGAACAGCTTTTAGGTGGTTGGTTCTATATGTTGTTAAAGCTGTAATAACCAGTACTCCTTCTGGTTTCCATTGTTTTCCATATACTCTTCAAGGGGAATGATACTTGAAAAAAGAATGGTGGCATTTCTTTACATTTCTGTTCTCATGAAGAGCAAGGTACAAGTAAAACCAAGGTTGTGGATTCAAACCCCATATGGGCCATTTGCTTAAGGGTTGGACTCAATCCTCCTGGGTCCCTTCCAATTCCAACCATTCTGTGATTCTTGATATAAAACTAACTGAAAATCAAGGATTAGCAACCTTTTGAGGGGTGTCTCCCAGAATATAATTTTGGTTTTAAGCTGAGAGGGTAAACATAATAGTAGAAACTCAGCAGAAGCTTGAAGATTCCATTTGGGGAATTTAGAATCAGTGATATCTCACGTGCATGAACTGTGGGATTCTGCTGCTGATCTTTGGAAGGTCCCCATGAGCTGCAGTAGCTGTAACCTCCTAAACCTTGATCAACCTTGGTGTGTGCAATTTAAATTGACAAAACACACTGTAGATATTTGGCTTAATTCTAAACTGATTTAAAAGGCCTCTAAGTATCCTTGCAAAAAAATGAGGTTAGTTCAATGCTAAATAAAAAGACATAGGTGTTTGGAGAGTAATAGTCCTAAACCTGCTACCTCAAAGTAGCCTTCCATTAATTTTCTTTTCATGCAAATTTTCTTACCTGCATTTAGGAGTAACATAAATACAGTAGCAACATAGGAAATTTAAAAAAAAATTTATTTTGAAAGATACAAATGGAAGGTAGAACTCTAGCGTTTTCAACTGAGATTTTTTTGCATGTTTGGAAATCATCTACATAGTTGTTTTTACAGGAAAATTATTATACAGCTTACATTCCAGGCTTGGATTCCAATAAAAACAGGAAGTTACAAAACCTAACATTGAAAGATATATCTTTTTAAGATGCCTGAAATAAAAAATACTCTATTTACATGCTATCATGCAGTACTATGGACAGAAGTAGAAAAGTGTTTTTTCCAATGTTAATGAAACTTGGAAATGATGGTACAAATTAGATTCTAAAATTGAATGTAATTACATGTGTACTTCTTCCTACATGTTACCAAGAATATTGCATATGATAATGTAAATATGGACTACTTGTTTACATGGATATTTTATTAGTGACTAAGAGATATTGCCAAATATTTTCTATTCCAAAAGACTCTTTCTTTTGCTTTTATTTCAGAAAATTCCTTCCTCTGATTTTAACTGTTCACAAGAACTTTAAAAAGTATTTTGTCATCCAAGGTACTTATTTGTAGATGAGAGAAAATATTTAATTACAATGTCTGTTTTCCTTATTCTTTTTTTATATATTAATAAAAATTATTTTTGAGCTTGTAATACTACTGAGTACAGATTTTCATTATGGTACTAAAATATAACTTTCTCAATTTCAATAATGATCAAATTACTCCTAAATTACTTTTTGAAAACAGGAGGACAGTTGTACAAAGTTTCTTAAATATGTCTTAATTTCAGCTATTTATAATGATCTTTATGATGAAATTTATGTACTTCGTAAATATATACATATGTATTTTAGGAACATAATCAGTATATAACAGAAAGTAAAAGAATTCACTGTATAAGCAATCATATTTCACCTTCTGATCCTAACAGAAATTCCTCATAGCAGTTGTTACAGGGAGGAAAAAAACAAACCAAAACCATCCTGTCATGAGAATGCCATTGCAAATATGGCAAGACCACGAATTCTCATATATAATGGTATCATAATGCACTGTAAGATTGAAATACCCTCAGGTAAGTAACAGACAGGCTAAGAACAGACCCCATGGAATCTTCTCACCCAATTCAACATCTGCATATCAAGTTACTCATAAATAGGTTAATGATCATAAAATGTTATAAAAGTAAAATCATCTATATGAACGTATCAGTAACAGCTAAGAATTAAGGTATTCTTGAATTTTAAAAGTTTAATTGGAAATTCTGAAAGTGAACAGCATAAATCGATTATTTGTGAATACCATAGAGCTGCTGGCTAAAATTTTCCAACATTTTCATCATCATGGAATAATAAAAAATACTATTACAAACATCAATGTAGCAGAAAACCTGTTGCATTCAAACCTAACAATTCCATGCTGCTGATAACTTCTCTTAACTGTTGCCTGTAGGCTGGATGTGTTGGAGAAAATAGTCCATGGTTTTAAAATATGTTGATTATTAAAAAATTTAGTAAAAGCTAAATTGTATTCAAAATTGAAAGAAGAGACTCAAATTTTGGCAGGAGGACTACATTTGTGTGGAAAAATGGTTTTTGTAAGTAGTTGACAGAACCCTTCTAACTTACAATACAGATATTTATGTTGTGTTATGGTACAAGCAACACTTGTAATCCCTGTATGACTAGTGGGCAGTAATGAGAAGTAAACTTAGGTAGAAATTCAAGTCCAGGTCAACAAAAACCGATGACAATCATTCCAGGCAATTCAGCTAAGAGAAGGGGTGATATTGAAAGAAATAACTGTATACAGTTACTACTGTATACAAACCAGAAATCTAAAAAAATTACAGGGCTCCAGCTAACTCTTACAGAAGAAGCAGAAACAATGGGTACAAATTTCAACAAGCTCAGTTATGTTCACCAAATGTACTCATCATAGAGCCTCAGCCAACATTTATTAGCATGGGGCTTGAGTTTACAGCTGAGTCCATGGCCATGTACACTGACTACTCATTGGCTCTCAAATTCCATATTTTGCTGGTCACCACATCATATTACAGTTACAAATACAGGTGTCAGAAAATGGATAAACATTTTGAAAATGTTTGCAATATGTAGTTCAATTTTCATAAGAATTACATTCCTACAAAATAAAAATTCATTGCCTAATACTTAAATTATGCAGGATGTAATTAAATATTAGCATGATTCATAGTGTGATGGTCAAATATTTTTGTGGCAGATGATCCTGCTCATGTGTATACAAGCAGTAATCCACTAGGTGGCAAGCACAACCAAAACGGCCTTTGGCAGATGCTAGACCAGCCTTACTTTTAGCTGATACAATATAATGAGTCATCTGCCTCAAAACAAAATCACAAGGTCAGCAGCCATAAAACACAGTCATGTCAGAACTTATATATTCACTTCTCTTTTTTTTTAAAGGGCCCACTCAGAATACAGTATTTCTTCATCTCTGATGCTGGAAACTGTTCTTTATTGTGCTCCACCTCAGAGCTCTTAAACTTCTGTTTTTAACTTCTGTGCAAATACAAGCTTGGTTAAAAGACACAACAAGAAGAACAGAAAAGCATTAAAGTTTAGGGATAAGC